AACCATGGACTAGACAGCGTATTTAAATTAGTTCTTAAGGTCACTAAAATAGTTTCACATTTTAAACAGGTTCGAATTGTCGTGGGATTATACGCAAGCTTTCAAGATGTTTTTAGTCCATTTAGAAGCGCCAGCAGTCCACTTAGATGCACGATACAGTTGTATCATCAAGTCCGAGAGTCTACTTGAAGATGCTCTGAGTGCACTCTATGTCCGCCACTTCTTCAATGAGGAAAACAAAAGGACGGTGAGATATGTTCATATAGTGACCAGAAAACAAGATAGAGAAAAGCACGTTAATTCAGTTCATTATGTTTTTAAAACTCAATCACCCCCCCCTCCCCTGTCCAGGTTCACGAGATCACAGACAACATCAAGCTGGCCTTACAGTCACAGCTAGAGAAGACGCCATGGATGGATGCAACAACCAAACAATACGCCAAGGAGAAGCTGGATAAAACCATCTTCAAGATGGGGTACCCTGACTGGATGAAGAATCAATCAGAGGTATGTACTGTTCGTTCAGTGCTGGTGTACTTGATATGAGCTTCTGATTAAAAATAACCCATTATGAACTACATACAAACATATAGTCTGGTGCCCATTTTTCAAGATGCGGTATATTGAGCGTTCTTTTTAACAAGAGCTGCATGCTAGACCAAAATATCTCCCACAAAATACTTCGTACAAAATATCTTTTGTATTTAAAATTCTGATTTGATTATCTTTTATATTTACAAATCTGTAATCCAGGTTGATTTGATGTACAGCGACCTGACAGTCACCGCTCTCGATCATTTTGATAACCTGATCGGCATTAATCGTTTCCTTGTCAGACATAGAAGAAACGAGTTCAACAATCTAAGTGTTTGGCCTGAAGACTCGTATTCTCAAACATTCGTAACAACTATTACCCCACAATTCTATGGAAACGAAGTGCATGCCTCAGCAGGTACGAAGCTTACAATAGCGGATTTGTTAACACATTAACTTTATTTTTTTTAATTTTACGATGTCATGACAGAATGCAAGAATTGAATAAACTGTATAAAAGACACATTATGTATGCCAAATATTTATGTACATTTATATTTATGTGGGCTAGAAAGCTATCTCACGGATCACCACTGTAAGGTGTTTAAACATTTTAATGTACATGTTTCTGACATTCTGACAAAATACTCTGTACTATCTTCGTGTGGGATAAAAATTATATACACCTTTTTTCTAGTGTTTCAGTCTATCATAGACATTGTGTTTGTCTATTATATATATATATATATATATATATATATATATATATATATATATATATATATATATATATATATATATATATATATATATATATATATATATAAAATTATAATGGGAGGCTAGGTAAAAACCCTGTATATACAGTGTTCAAAGAATGATGATTCATATTTCATTTTATTCTACCCAGGTGTTCTCCAGTATCCCATCTACTCCAACAAGCAGCCCCACTATGCAAATTTCGGATCCCTCGGCGCCATCTTGGGCCGGTTTATTCACGGCATGATTGGTGACATTGGAAGAGACTACGACAAAAATGGCACACCACTACTTTCTACGTGGTGGTCTGATGCTACTCTCACAGCATATAACGCAACGAGGCGATGTTTTTCACAAATCTACAACGACGTCACGTTGAATAAAGACAAGAATTACGAAAATGACGACACGGTTTTCATCGCCTGGACCAATGGCGTGAGGCTAGCTCTGATTGGCTACAAGGATTGGGTCAAAAGTCGAGGGATTGTTGAAAAAGTTTTACCCGGAACTGGGTTAAACAACGAGCAGATGATTTTCCTAGCGCATGCGCAGACGTTCTGTTACGTAAAAGAAGATCTTCCCGACTGGGTGAGGATGTACCGAAATGAAAATGATGTCATGGTTAACATGGTCCTGAGCCAACTTAAAGAGTTTTCTAAAGCTTTTAATTGCAAACCCGGGGCTAGGATGAACCACGAGGTCAAGTGTGACTATTATTAGATTTAAATGCCGTTATTCTGATGTTATATTAGTTAAATTATTTTTCTGATCTTCATCTGCTATTGATTTTTATTTGAAATATTAAACAATTTACTACTAAGTTTTCTTTTTATTCCAAAACTGTTTTTGTTTTGGGATTGGGTTAGGACAAAAGTGTGCAAAGTATGTTGTTTGAAAAAAGCTATAAAATATATTACGGCAGGTAGTGTGTCAGTCTGTCTCTAATATATGCAGACAGTGATTGTCAGCTTATCGTAAGTATCCGAAACAAAATTAGAAATTTAATTTAATTTGTTTAAAAAACGCAATGAACGTTAAGACACTCTTGCCTCATACCTGGTTTGAAATGTTACGTGTGGAAGAGCGGGTCGCTTTATTGTCTATTGGATACTATATTAGGAAGATACCCACGCTATTCTTTATAGTTATTTTAATAGTAGTGTATTATTATATATTTATAGAAAATATTTTTTTCTACTTTTTAGTACATTATAACATAAAGCTTGTTATTCAAACGTTTTTTTGTGAATTATTTTTTCAGTAGGGGGGGCCTACTTTAATTATTTTTTTAAAATTTGCAATAGAGTTGCATGACTAAAAACCAATGCATTTCTAATAAACATGATAATACGCGATTAATAGTGCAGAAAATTTAGACAAGATTGCCTACTAATTTGGACACAATAATTAATTTAAAAAAAGCTTAATTAGGCATCCAATTCAGTAAAATTTATTGTCAGATTGCATTGCATTCATGTCTTTACCCACGTGCCACCTTTGAAAAAAAATCTGTCAGTTACAAGTGCCCGACATTTTGCTCGAGTGTTTCAATCAATGACGACAGACTAAAGACAGATAGACAGACTGACAACAGACAGAGGAATCAAGTTAAATAAAAGCTTTTAAAAAGACGAGCGCTTTTAAACATAACATGGGCATGTAGCCTTTTAAAAAGGATTTTCTCTTCTTATAAAGCTAAGGCTTTCAAAACACGATTGTCACAGATTTGAGCACTTTTATTTCAACCGCATTATATTACTACTAGATTACAACCGCAATAATATTAGTAACATTCTTCAAGATAAACTTAGATATTTAAAAAAAAATGTTTATTTAGATAGTGTTATTATTGTTATCATTATGTGTTTTCGAAAAAAGAAAAGACTGGGCTTTTAATATTTTTGTTTGTAAGTTGATTGCATGATGTATGTAAATTCCTGACATATTAAACATATTTAGGCTTTTTATTTTGAACTGCTGTTGAGCCCTTATATTGATCAAGCCGGTTTTCAGTATTGCTACTGATTAAATAAACTGTAATCCTCCTATTTTGTATCCAGAGTTTCTTCTAGGCATCTCTTCGGGGGGGGGGGGGGGGGGGGACGACCCTCCCCCCGAATTTTTTTTACCGCCCCCCCCCCCCCCCCGAACGAAATGAAATTATATAATTTATATATAAAATATATATATTTAACAGTGTCCGCCCACCACCCCCCCCCCCCCCCGAAGAAAGTTTACCGACCCCCCCCCCCCCCCGAAAATTTTCAAGTGCCCCCCCCCCCCCGGAGAAAAAAGTCTGGAAGAAACACTGTTTGTATCACCATCTTCTGTATGTGTCAGAAGACTGTGTTGTGAGAAATGAACATTGACTTTGGTCAGGGAACATTTTGACCTAGTGTAAAATGAACATGTATTTGTTTGACATGTTATCTGCCCTAAATACGCCCTCCAGACCACCTCGCCCCCCCCCTGGGTTTGTCTTATGAGATATCTAAACGTGATGTAATGTGAGTCACTTCAGCACTGAGAACAAAATTAGTCTGTACTTGGTCAACAGTGTATAAAGTGGTAGTGGGAATCTCATCACGTATGTAGTAACAATGTATTCTCTTTACACTTTAGTTTCTTTGCTTTACAAAATGTTTTACATTTGAAATGTAATACTATTTCATGTTATGATTGTTTAAATAGCATATTGTGTCGTTAAAATTTAAATACATATATTTTGAATTTGATTTGATTATATGGTTTCGATGTCCTTTCTTGCAAACAAGCAATTAGATAAAATATAATCTTAAAAACTACTTAAACGTTTGATTTAAATAGGATTTTAGAATTTTCTAAATTAAATTTCCTAACTTTAATGCAATTTAGTGAACGACTGTAATACCCCATCTTGTCCATAGTCTATCGCACATTTTAAAACAATAGTTGGCGCATTAGCGCTCACGGGAAAGCCTTGGGCGCCAAATCGCACACTACCGGGGTGCCCTCTCTTGCAAAATTAAACATTTTCTCTCAGAAACCTCTCCAGGAATATTTTCAACACCTCTTCAAAGTTTCAAGGCAATCGATTGAAAGGATACATCTTCGTTTCTATTATAGATCCTTACTTATAAATAACTTAACAAGCCAATTAATTTATTATAAAAAATGTCAAGTATATTACATACAATTATTCTGGAGTTTTTAAATATCTATAATGACAATACATTTCAAAAACAGATGTCCTAAAAACTTCTGTTAATATATATATTTTCAACAACTCTTCAACGTTTCAAGGCAATATATATATATATATATATATATATATATATATATCATACAATAACTGTATTATATGTAAAGTATACATGCACATTTCTAGAATGGCCAACAGTTATGATCTGAACGACAAGGAGCCCATCATTAAATTCATTCGCATAAAGCGATGGAAGTTTCGTCTAAGGGAGATTATTCTCGGGGTGATCGCCCTTTTGCTCTTGTTGATCTGCTTTATTTTATCCGGTTTGTTTAACAAAGTCAGCAACGAGTTAGCGGCTTCAACAAGTCAAGCTTACCTAGGTAAAAAGGCTGGATTCACTTTTTTTCTTAAATTTTATATTTTTCTTTCTGAAAATATTTTACTCAACAGTTCTGTAGCCTATAATCATTCATATTTTGGTATATTGTTTAAAAAATATTAAAGTTTATGTCATCCTAACCAGACGAGCGTATGTGTGTTGATATCGGCTGTATGGAGACGGCCACCAGGGCCATGGAACTACGGAACAAAAGTGTTGACCCGTGTGAGAACTTCTATGAGTACGCTTGTGGCAACTACCAGAGCGTGGCACCGGTTTACCTGGATTCGGGTAAATAGTTTAAACATTTTTTTTAAACAATTAAAATGTTACGATTATATCATAGAGCAGTATCGTTGACAAATAATAAATGATACTGTACACGTGTATGTGATATATACGTCATTCGAAGACTAAGTTAAAAGAAACAGTAATGTACCTATGGGGGGGGGGGTAACTTGAAATTGTCGGGGTGGCCGGGAGGGCAGGATACAATTTCCGGGGGAGGGAGGGGGCGGACACTGTTAAAAGTACAATATACACTAGATGAAGCCAGTGTTCTGAACTCAACATATATGGTTAGTGGGTGTGCGCGCTACTTAACGACCCCGAGCTTTGTAGTAAAGTATTGGGTATTTTACACATCAATAGATTTGTCATTTTGGATAACGTATACGGTCTCTTTTGAACAGTGGCGTAGCGAGGTCGGGTGTCACCCGGTTCGGCACTTAATGGTGTCACCCCCCCCCCCCCCCAGAGACGTAGCGACCCTTCTCGGAGACAAACTTTCAAATTTTCGAATTGCACCCCCCCTCAAGTTTTCGATTTGCACCCCCCCCCCTTAAGTTTTTCTCTATATATTTTGCTATTTTTTGCCTTGGTGTCACCCCCCTAAATGGTGTCACCCGGTGCGGTCCGCACCCCCCGCCCCACCCCCCCCTTGCTACGCCCCTGCTTTTGAAAATTAATTATGCCATCAATATATACTAATTATTTCAATTCTTAAACAAGCTTCAATATGTGTGCGGAAATCAAACATACTAAAATATATTAGAGTTCAAAATTTTAGTTGATTGAATATACATTAGTTTTCTTTTAAGTTGAACAAATTATGTAATAAATTTATTTTCGTTATTTCTTTCTATAGATTCAACGCAACTGTTAAGAATGTCAAGGGTTGCACCCCTATCGGATAATAGTTATTCTTTCGCCAGAAGTGTTCTGGAAGATTTAACACGACAGAACGAAGATCGCATGATGGACCTGTTGGATAGCCCTATATCAGATGCTCACGATGCCTCGTATGAAAGAAAACTGAAACAATATTTTCAGGCTTGCAACAATATGTTTGATCGGGACACGAAGAGAGGTAGGTTAAAAGTCAGGGTAAAACTTAATTATAGACATTCCCAGGGGTAAGGGTGGTGATATGCGAGCTTTCTAAAACAAAATTCAGGATTAGGGAGATCGTAGTCGATATTGGCGTATCAAGATAATTTCATGCGGAGGGGGGTGGGGATGGGGGGGGGGGGGGGGGGTAGGGAGGGGAAGGCGATAGATTTAAAACATCAACTTATATATATACAAATATATATACATATACATATATATGTATATATATAGTTGTTGAGAATACACATTGGGAGGTTTCTGTGAGTTTTTTTTAAATTAAATTCGCAGGGGTGGCGACCCGGCAGGGCGCGATTTGTTTTCTCTCTCTCTCTCTCTCTCTCTCTCTCTCTCTCTCTCTTTATATATATATATATATATATATATATATATATATATATATATATATATATATAGCAAATTGCTCGGGTGCCCGATAGGGCACTACTCGGCCCCGCATTCGCGTCAAATTTGGCAGTCTCCTGTCTTGGGGCATTAGAACACAGGGCCTTGTGCCGGTTGGCCACAAAGTCCATGAATAATGGTTCAAATTTGACCCCGACTGACCGGCGCCTTATATGAGCTATGTATCGAAAAAGATTTCCCACGTAGAAACCTCTTCAAAACTCCCGAGGTCGTAGACCGACGATATATTCCGGAAAATTCCGGAAGTGCTTAAGAACTCACCGGTCCAAATTTTCCCTATATAAACATTGGTTATTTGGTGAAAAGCGATGGATACTTTCAAAACAATGTTTTGGAACTTTGGCTCTGTACATCTGGCTCATTTTTTTCCATAATCATTGATAAATGTATAGGCTTTATGGATAATCTATCGGTCAGCCTCTGCTCGCACGGCGAGGGCTAAGAAGGGTGCACGGACCTTTGCCCACAGGTGCTTAGACCATAGGGGTTTGGCTATATGGGGTTTTGACCACAGAGGGGCTTTGACCATAGATGCTTTGGCCACAGCGGGGCTTTGAAATTATATACAATATAAAACCACTATGCGCATAAAAAACGCTCCTGAATCAATTCTTTTTTTTACTTTCTAGACTGTGTTTTTCTAATTGTATATTTCCGGGTTTATAATATAACCTAATACGTTTCTATCTCCCAACACAGTGTCAGCGATGGTGTGTCACAACACCGAATATTAGACAGCTAGGCCTACACAGGTGGTTTAGACCACCCCCTCCCCCCATCCTCGATACTCCTTAACTGATCTAACGGTGACCAACTTTCCTTGTGTCTACTGCATTCAAGGTTATTCTAAAATAATATAGCGCGATAAAAAAAATCGTAAATAAGATCTAAAGGCAAATCTCATGACAATGGTTTACATTGTTGTTCTAGAGGCTGCGACCCGGCTTAAGTGTTTAGTGTTTAAGTCCTAAATGATAGCGGCAAAATAATTATAACTTAACGTAATACAGTAAACCTTTCAAGATCTGTTTACACCAATGGTAGCCTTTCCCCACAATCATATTTAGTTATGTCGTGCTATGAATAGGAGTGGAGCATGTTTTTACAAGCTGTTATTTAACTCACTTCCTTTTTCTGTCGTCAGTCTGTCTAGATCAAAACGCCCGAGCTAAATTTCGGCCACTTCAAGCCGACATATCTATTTCAACGTTAGCAGACATGAGGACAATGCAAGATGATATTAAATTTGACTTAATTGGATGCCTAATTAAGCGTATGAAGTGGATAGTGTGGTCAGAGCCATGCTCGGCCGAAATCTTTTTTTAAACGATAAAACATGTTGTCTGAGAATTGGCGGGACATAGGGCAAGTGAACTAGGAGTTGGGTAGGTGTAGATTTCACTTGTGACGTCAGCATATGAAGGGATAGTGTGGTCAGACCCATGCTCAGCCGAAATCGGTGTTTTTAAAAGACAAAAACGTCTGAGGTGTGGGTCTGATTTTTCGTTACGATAAGTGACAGACGTGATGTCATTTATGGATGACCCCCGAAACCCACAGTTATCCAAAGGATGACGGGTGGTCAAGTTGTTTTTAAAATAAAGCATTAATTTTCACTTAAAATTTAACAATAGTTAAACACTAAAATGTAGAGAAAAATAAATTTAAAAAAATACTTAACACTGCATTCGTTTCTAATGACTGAATATGGGTAAACATACCCTGCTTTCTATCTCTCTTATGTTGTAAGAAATAGTTAGAATGACTAAGATATTTTATGAACGTTCTATGCTGTTAATAGCGATAGAACATGATTTCATTTTCAGAGCGTTTAATAAAAACATAATTTTTATCCTTAAAAAAATTTCGATTTGTTTTTGCAATTACCGATTTTTTTCTTTCCCGGTTTCCAACTGGTTTGGAAATAGTTTGAGAAGACTGGTGGGGGGGGGAAGGGATTCACTTAAAGTAATGGCATTGGGATCATGATCCCGTGAACTGAATTCCTTACTATCGTGTAAGCAAGGGTTTGCTGTAACTTTAGACGACGATTTCGTAAACTATTCCTTCAGGTGCTCCGTTGCTTAAGATAATTTCTGAGCTTGGAGGGTGGAAACTTTTAGGCAACTGGAAACAAGACTGGAACTTCAATGACGCTCTGAAAAAGGTTCAGGCAGATTTCGGTGTACGGGCTATGTTTAGAGTTATAGTAAGTATTAACCCATTATATTACATAAAATGTTTTTGAGTTATAAATTGCATTATATCGTGGAAACAATTTTTTTTTTGGTTTAAGGTGGAAAAACAGTCGTCTAATAGCAACAAATTCAACATTGCAATATATCCTTCAGGTACAAGCCAATTCGGCTTTCGGCTAGTGTAAGTTGTACATGGGTTGTGTTGAAACCTTTCTGTTTTAGTCTAACATGTGATGCATGCCTTTTGAAATAGCACTCTGAATATCAGACAGTGGCGTAGCGAGGTCGGGTGTCACCCGGTGCGGCACTTAATGGTGTCACTCCCCAGAGGCGTAGAGACCCTTCCCGGGGACAAACTTTCAATTTTCGATTTGCACCCCCCCCCCTCAAACTTTCGATTTGCACCCCCCCCCCCTCCCTCAAACTTTCGATTTGCACCTTCTCAAACTTTTGATTTGCACAACCACCACCACCACCCCCTCCCCTCAAACTTTCGAATTGCACCCCCCCCCCCCTCAAATTTTTCTCTATATATTTTGCTATTTTTTGCCTTGGTGTCACCCCCTAAATGGTGTCACCCGATGCGGTCCACACCACCCCCCCCCTCACTACACCTCTGATATCAGACATTGCATTAAATTTCAAATCTGATTCCGATACTATTATAAGGTACTTATCGAAAGAGGGCAGAAAATCGTACAAGACGTATATTAGAAGAGTTGGCTCCCTTCTAGTCAATGACGCCATTACTATGAATATCACCCAGGACAACGGGACAACAGAGTTAGATCTGGACGAGTTTGTCAACGATACCTTCGCCATAGAGTCACACCTGGCGTCAGCAATGTTAGGACATCAAGATAGGATTCAAGTTTGTATTAAATTCATTTTTGTATTTAATTTTTAAAGCTATATGTATATATATATATATATATATATATATATATATATATATATATATATATATATATATATGTGTGTGTGTGTGTGTGTGTGTGTGTGTAATTAAATTGATGTATTTCAAACAATTTAGTTTTAAAATCTTAATCCCTCTATTTAAAGTGTATGTAAGTTTGAACATGGAAGATATCTCTTTAGACGAACTTGACTGCTCTAAACGCCGAGTCTCATGGTCTCATGGACTGGGTCCAACAACTGGGCAATTTGTTGGGCACAGCCAACATCACAGGTGATCAAGAGGTGATTCTGTTTAACAGAACCTTCACTGAGAAAATTACGAGCTGGCTTACGTCATTTCCTGTTCATGAAATGAACCGGATGCTACATAACTACCTCATTTGGCGAGTAGCTGAATCATTTGGGTAATAAAACTACACATCTTGAAATGACCGGTATACTGCTAACTACATTATATTAGAGACTAGCTTTTTATTTGAACTCTTCTAATCCAAAACTGTAAAGGGGAAAGGTGTAGCGAGGTCGGGCGTCACCCGGTGCGGCACTTAATGGTGTCACGCCCTCAGAGGCGTAGCGACTCTTACCAGGGACAGACCTTTAAATTTCGATTTGCACCCCCCCCCCTTCAAACTATCGCTTTGCACCCCCCCCCTCAACTTTTTCTCTATATATTTTACTATTTTTTGCCTTGGTGTCACCCCCCTAACTGGTGTCACCCGGTGCGGTCCGCACCCCCACCCCCCCCCCTCGCTACGCCTCTGATACAAACAACGCTCCTATAATATAATAGAAATCCCATGAAAATAGCGTTCATTAAATGTATTTACCTGGCTTTTAAATGATAATTACAATAATCAATCTATTTTCTACATACTAGCTATTTACAAATGCGTTTCCAATATATTCAGAATAACTATGCAAAACTTAACTGTTATTTGCTTCTGAATAGCTATTCTTTGTTTCCGCACGTTTCCAATAAGCTTTAGTCCATGTGCTCAATTCAATTTTGAATAGGCTTTGTTTCAGCTTGACAGCTAACGCCGCATAGACAGCTTAGAATTTCGCTCGATGCAACCAAGCGAATCGTTGTTGATTTTAACATATTTCCCCCCCCCCCCCATTTCTCTTCGTTTACATCACCAAAAAAGTGCTGGGCAAACTATGCGAACACCCAATACACGCCTTAAAAGTCTGACCCCCCCCCCCCCCCCCCCCGCATTAAGACCGTCTAGTATGTTACAATTTAAGAATATCTTTTGATATCACACATTTCAAAAAATTGGTGACATGAGCTAATCTATTGTTAAAATGATTTTTTTTCGGGTAAACCTTTCGCAAGAATGTAAATTCAGCGTAGCATACCAAATATGTCCAATTTTCAAAACAGGCTCTCTGTGTCCTCAAATTATATACACCTCTTCAAGGAAAATCTGGTCAAGTTAAGGATACCATTAACAGTTCAACCTCGCACCATTTGTATTTTGACTGCCATTTCTGTTTTTCAAGACGGACTGAGTGCACTTTATGTTCGCCACTTTTTCAATGAGGAGAACAAAAGGACGGTGAGATATTTTAATATAGTGACCAGACAATGTGAATAAAACAAACGGTGAGATATTTTAATATAGTGACCAGACAATGTGAATAAAACAAACGGTGAGATATTTTAATATAGTGACCAGACAATGTGAATAAAACAAACGGTGAGATATTTTAATATAGTGACCAGACAATGTGAATAAAACAAACGGTGAGATATTTTAATATAGTGACCAGACAATGTGAATAAAACAAACGGTGAGATATTTTAATATAGTGACCAGACAATGTGAATAAAACAAACGGTGAGATATTTTAAATATAGTGACCAGACAATGTGAAAAAACAAAAGGTGAGATATTTTAATATAGTGACCAGACAATGTGAATAAAACAAACAGTGAGATATTTTAATATAGTGACCAGACAATGTGAATAAAACAAACGGTGAGATATTTTAATATAGTGACCAGACAATGTGAATAAAACAAACGGTGAGATATTTTAATATAGTGACCAATTAATTAAAAGGACGGTTATATATTTTTATATATTGACTTATATAGTGACTTGGCTAAAATAGGAGAAATTAAGAACGGTCAGTTAGAAGTGCTCGAAATTGTGCTCTCCAGTTTTGATATATAAGGACAGAAAGAAAGACAGAGAAACAGATGAAGCGAATTAAATAAAAGCTTGTAAAAATCCATGTTTCCTATATAAGCACTTTTTTCCGCTTTATTATACAAACATTTTTTGCGTTCATTTGGTGCTCATTTTCTTTTTCTCCGTGATTCTATTTCATTTTAAAATGTAACATACGAGAAAGTAATCTTGTGGTTGTGGTTTGGTTTGGTTTTTGTTTGCTTTTTTGTTAGTTTTTTCTTTGTGTTTGTATTGGTGTTTGTGGTTGGGTTTGTTGTTAGGTTTTTGTTTTCGTTTGTATTTGTAATTGTGTTAGCGTTATGTTTGCGTTTTGTTGTTTTGGGTTTGGTTGGTTGTAGTTTGGGTGGGTAGTGCAGGGTTTATGATGATTATTAAACACACAGGTAATGGTCTTTAACAGAAAGGTTTTTCACAGAAGCCAGAGCAGGGCCTGGCTGGGACGGCTAGTATAATTAATCTAAAGAAATATGCTAAAAAATAACCAACTAAAAGCCAAATTCGAAAACAATGAAGGATCTCATAAATAAAGCAATCAATCAATCAGAAGTAAGGTACAAAAATATTTTAGTACCCTTTAACAAAAACACAAATGAAACCAAAATCTAGTGTACATACAATAGAATATCACCAACGTACACATCAAATAAACAAATAAAGCAACCTGATATAAATACAGTATGTGATATAAAATCAAGATTGACAATGTTCTTTTAAACAATGACAACAATATCGATCGATAAGCTTGAAATGTTGGTCATGGTAGATTGGTTTTATTACTGGGAGCCGACACTGGACTAAGAAGTGGCAAATAGTTTTCATGCTACTGAACCGTTTTTAAGTCCTGATATTTAGTCGTAAATGGTGTTGACATTGTAATAAACAAACGAAATGTAAAAAAAAAGACATTAATAAATTGAATATATATTCTTTTTAATTCGTAAATACCATCTTATTTTTTTTTAACATTTAAGATGAATGCCTATTCGATGACATACCCAAAACATTTGCAAGATAACCAATGAAACGTTTAGCACAAGCTATTGGCTCGATGCAATTTAAATAAGGAAAATATAATTCCCCTGGTTTTGTTGTTAAAGAGATATTATTTTTAAGCAGTGTGTTGGTGGAAAGTATATGAACTATTTACTTTTGTATATGGTAACTCAAACCAGCTTTTAGATAGATAAAAACTAGCAGGAACATTAAGTGAAATCCAATAAACAGTAGTTTAATGAAGTCATTATTGTTTTTTTTTAAAATTCAATCACTCCCTGTCCAGGTTCACGAGATCACAGACAACATCAAGCTGGCCTTACAGTCACAGCTAGAGAAGACGCCATGGATGGATGCAACAACCAAACAATACGCCAAGGAGAAGCTGGATAAAACCATCTTCAAGATGGGGTACCCAGACTGGATGAAGAATCAATCACAGGTAGTATTACCTCGGATAATTGTATACGTTGCAGGTAAAGGGTCCATATATATATATATATATATATATATATATATATATATATATATATATATATATATATATATATATATATATATATATTTATATATTTATATATGCATTGCCGAGCTTTGCTTTTCTTCCAACTTAGCTGCAGAAAAAGATCCAGAGTTGGACAAAGATACCAGAGCGTGTATTCCTATCGTTTAATGGGGCACCACTCCAAGTTGAATTTGGAGCTTACTACACTAAAGTGTGTTGCTGTCCCTAACTGACGAGCCTAATATGTCCGTGGGATTTACAGCCATTACCTTTCTCCCCATCACCAAGTCGTTTAGGAAAAACGAGTGAGATATTGGACAACAATTTAGCCCCTCAACACAAATAAAATTTTCGCTTTTTTTCAGTCTAGAATGAACCCATCTAGAAACAAAAACATATTTGAAAGTATAGACTTACATGTGACAAATTTGAATTATCGTAGAAAAGGCAGTTAGAAATAGGAGTTGGCGAAGGAAAATTGGAGATAAAAAGCTTGTGAACAAACATTTCTTGTATTAAATAGCAGAATACACTGTGTGATTTGAGAAAAAATAGTTAGCGAAAATTTAACTTTCCAAAATTTAAATTAACAGAATAACATGTTTCTTATTATTCGTTTAGTGCCTCTATGTTATGGGTTGCGGCAAAAGTGTCGCGATGTTCTCCTTAGGTACATTATCAATAGTTTCGACTTAACAAAGATTTCTCTACTGCAAATATTTTCACGGACATGCTGCGTCCTGAGTTTTTCCGCTTCATAATACCTTACCTCATTTCTCTCTTTCAAAGCAAATCAAAACTAAAACACTTTATGCTTAAAATATCAACGTAATATTCGCCAACAGGCACAACTTCATGTGATCCAGACAAAAATGTGTTCATCTTCATTCTTATTCTTACATTTACTTTCACATACAATATATTTTATGCTACTGTCATCATCGCTATCCACACTTTTTGTGTGCTTGCTTAAAAATCATCCCTCAATCTTTGTTTCAGTTCAGATGACTTAGAGCTCAGTAACAGAAACTATGCTTTGTAGAGTTGATAACTCTCACTAATCATGCAACACAACTTGTCCAATTCACTTTCCATCTTTCTTAGAAAACTGTTGAATTTTTTTTTTCAGGTTGATCATATGTACAGCGGCTTGAACATAAGCGACAGCGATCACTTTGCCAACTTGCTCAGCGTGCAGCGTTTCCGTTTAAGACGCACTATCAAGCAGCTAAACAACGAAAGGGTACGGTTTGATAACGCGTACGGAGCCACATTCAAAACAATGGTGTACGCAATGCCGCAAGTTAACGAGGTGTACGCTACAGCTGGTAGGATAATTACAAGAGAAATTAGTTTCATAAAATAAGTTACAGATATAACTTTGTATTGAAGTGTTAAGTTGAAAAAAATCGGCCTAATATTTCAGTTACGATACAGAGATATTGTAATTTAGAACGAGTAAAGAAATAATTGTGTAATTATTTTCATTTTGATCCTAGGTGTTCTCCAGTACCCCATCTACTCCAGCAATCAACCCCATCATTCAACTTTCGGATCTCTCGGCGCCATCTTGGGCCAGGTCATTGTTCAAATAATAGACTTTGGGGGAAGCAGGTACGACCAAACGACAGCCGCTTGGTGGACTGAAGCTTCAATCGCAGCATACGACACAGTTTCAAAATGTGTCTCAAATGTCTCCAAGACGCAGGACTCCCTGGAACTTAAAGGACACATCGACCGGACCAGTGGCGTACGGCTAGCTCTGATTGGCTACAAGGATTGGGTCAAAAGTCGAGGGATTGTTGAAAAGGTTTTACCCGGAACTGGGTTAACCAACGAGCAGATGATTTTCCTAGCGTTTGCGCAGACGTTCTGTTACGTAAAAGAAGATCTACCCGATCGGAAGTTGATGTACTTTAGCGGGAATGATGTCAATGTCAACATGGCACTGGGTCAACTTAAAGAGTTTTCTAAAGCTTTTAATTGCAAACCCGAGGCTAAGATGAACCACGAGGTCAAATGCGGTTGTTATTAGATATCTACGACATTGCCCTAATTAGTTTTTGCTGGTTATTTCAATCTGCGCGTTAACATTTCTTAATGTTTATTGTAATTAACGTTTTGTCTGCATTAGCGATTTCTTTTTTTTTAATGGCATGTTAAAAGAAGAAAGAGCGCCAACTTTTACCTTGTCTTATTCTCATCACACTCATTGTACTTCCCGCGTCAATATGCTCAACCGAGAATTATTTCAAAATTATTCAAAAGGTCCATTAAATATTTTAAAAATCATGTACGATGTTATAAAGACACGATTCTAAAAATATTCTTGATTTTTGTTGGATTTTACTCAAGATTGGATGTAATTGATTTTTTTTAGTATTTTCGGTATCAAACATAAATGTAAAAAATTAAATTGTAAAATAAAAATAAAATGGCTAAACTAAGCCTTTTGGTTGTTTTTAAAATGTAATTTAAAATAGGATGTTTTTTAAGTGTGTCTTTCAGAAAGTCAACCATGGAGTTCCTATAATTAATGATTGTCTTACGAAAGTGAAACTTTAGGTTATAATTTAACGACAAAATTCCTGGTTTTTTGTCATGATAATTTTTTTTTTTTTTTAGCATTTTTTGGATACTTGTCCATTTTTTTATATAGAAAATAATATAAATAATGAAAAATAATGTATTTAAAATACCACTATTTTGCTGATAAATACCTACTTTCATGTGCCAAACACGGTAAAAGTATTCAAAAAGATTTTGATCTTACATTGTAAAAAATAGAAAAATAATAAATACATAAAAACGTTTATAATTACAAGCTTTTATAAAACTATAACCCATCGCGCGCCTATGGAACGTGATGACGCTTGTGACGTAGAGCCCCCCTCGCTCCACGCCCAACACGGCCGTCATGACGCGTGTGGATAGAGCTGCCTACTAATTCGGTCCAAATTTTAATTAATTTATAAAAAAATAAATAGGCGACTAATTTAGTCAAATTGAATGTCACGATGCATTGTCTTCATGTCTTGACCAACGTACCAATTACGAACCGTATCTGTTAGTTAGAAGTGTCCGACATTCTGACGAGGAAATGAGTGTAATAAAAGCTTGTAAAAAAAGAGCATATCCCCTTAAGCTTGATACAAATAAATAAAAATGTAGTCTTGAACTTCAATAACTATATTACATTGCAAACACAATAACATAAATTAAATCTAAAAAGGTGGTTCAAATACAAAAAGCTGGCTGTAAACTGCAACATTAACCTATTATATACGCATCACCCTACTAATTGAAACAATAATATACGACCTATTATTTGTGGGGGTCTGAAATTAATAAGAACAAATAAGAACAAACAGTTCTATGGACAGTACCGTAAAAATATATGTGAGATTTAAATAGAAAGTTTACTGATGGACACTAGGGCAACTAACTTTATCCAAGTACCTGGCACACACCTATACGTATTTTAATTGGTCAGCCGGAACGATAGCCGTAATGACCATATCTGTGACCTGTCATGCGTGCTCATGTGCCATCCTGTCCACCTATGTAGGTATGGATGTAATTAGTTTACTCGTATAAGTACCTGTTGTTTGCAGAATAGAACATGTCTTACAGTCAACTCGTTATCGTATAGGGCTAGAATGTTCGCTTTGTTTACGTAAGAGTTACCTGTGGTACTCATTTTGTAATGGTCTAGCTTCCACTGACAACATCGACATCCACATGCATACTAGAAATCTTTTTAATTCCAAGGAAGTAGGCGGGGTTAGTCTAAATAATTAAACGAATATGGTATGTAGTAATCTGAATACAAAAAATGCTTGATTCTGTATCATGTTATGCTCTGACTGAAAGAACGTAAGAACGATTTCCAAGCTCTCTATACCCTTCATAAGACGGTGACGTATAGAAGTAGCTCAGACTTGTTGTTATGCAAACTTCTTTCTGTCAATATTTTGTATTTACTATGCTTATCCCCGGAAGGGAACCGAACTTTGAGAAAGAACTGGAATATTAGGTTGGTTTTTGACATGGATGTGTGAGATGAAGGCTCAATGGAAATGAGAAAATATATGCAAGTCTACTTGGAGTAAACGAGGCAAGATAGACGCAATCAAGTAACGTTAAAATTCATATATGACAAATAATTCTGTACTCCGGCCATGAAATACGTTAAATGTAAAGCCGACTAAGAACTGCTCTACGGGAGTCCATAGAGCCGTATTCAGAAGCTTGCGGAGAGGTACAGAGAAACACCGAAAACATTAGACTAATTACAATACATAGACAGTCTGGCTATGGAGGGAAAAATATCACCATCTAAAGATCACAAAAAAGACATATAAAGAATAACTAAATAACTATCAGGGAAATTTCAGTAACACAATAACACAATACAATACAATGTAAAACCTGTGGAGGAGCAAGAAAAAAATCGGTACAGTAATTTCTTCTAACTAAACCAACACCAATTAAATACTCTAGATATTAAACCAGCTCAGAGCTACCTATTGAACACAACGCAACACAAATGACAAATAAATAATAGCATAAAAATACAAAAGGTTGGAAAAGCTACTGGGGAGGAAGGTAAACTTGCCATAGCTATCAAAACAAAGCATATATATGTATGTATCTATATAACATATATACATATATATATATATATATATATATATATATATATATATATATATATATATATATATATATATATATATATATATATATATATATATATATATACATGTAAACTCCACAACATAGTAAGTACAAAATATGTGTAAATTACCTACGGATATGAAAGAATGACCAGAGGCGTAGCGACCCTTCCCGGCGCCCGGGGACAAACTTTCAACCTGGCGCCCCCCTCGGGAGCAAATTTTCATTCTGCACCTCCCCTCAAACTGCAAAACTGCAGCTAAAATGACATTTTAATTTGTTTTTACAACCCATTTTGGCGCCCCCTAAGGTCGGCGCCCGGGGACATATGTCCCCCCCTGCCCCCCCCCCCCCCATCGCTACGCCTCTGAGAATGACTTATAGTAAAACTTTCAAAAAGAGGCGATGGAAAAGACAGGTTTAACTATAGTATGCCAGGAAACGTTTTACCCATTGCAAGCATTGTTCGCGCTTCAAATCTTTCACACATTTTATTAAAGAAAGCAAGTTTCTTTTTAATTTTTAATTATTTTTTCCAAATTTTCAGTTCATATATAAACGTATTTTTAAGTATGTTATTGGTGGTAGCGTGGTCTTCTAAAATGTTGAGCTATTACAGTATTGCATATTTGTCATGGGTGAATTTATGGCACCTTTACCCTATTATCACGTGACTCATACACCTCGTATGCTGCTAGTGTTAAAGTGCAGAAGATTCCGTTTGCACTGGTCTATACGGAATTTGTAAAACATCAACACAAATGCTTACACTATTTTTATCACTTTTACACTTTTAAAAAACAATTTCAACTGGATGGTACTCAGTAACGCTGGAAGTTTAAATTTTTTTAAAAAGCTGGTTTGTACTGAACTCAATTCTATTGAGATATAGTTTGTGATTACTTAATGTTTAAATATTATTATATTATTTTATGGAACTATGGTTTTTCGAAACTTGAAATACAATAAACTCGTTTTTGCTGATTAATTAGAATTTGAATTAATTTAAACTTTGAATTGTTTTTGTTTTTTAATTTACGTTGCCACGGTAATTAATAAATTGTTGTGGTATTTTTAATATTAGGTTTTTTTCTTCTAAATGGCGGACGAATTTAAGACATACGACAAGACACCCATCATTAGTCTCATCAATATAAACAGATGGAAGTTTGGTCTAAGGGAGATCATTCTCGGAGTCATCGCCCTTTTGCTCTTGTTTCTCTGTGTCATTTTAGCCAGTCTGGTTGGTAAAGCCAACAATGAGTTATCGGAACTGGCGGCTACACAAAGCCAAGCTTACATTGGTAAGACTTAAAGAATGTAAGTGATTAATTAACGTAGTGTATTCACGAATTTGAAACAAATATAATTTTTGTATTATTTTTAAAGAGCGAAAAGTAAGATAACTAAGTCTTAATCGTCACATAATAAGCTCTTGTTTTCATGGGAATTAAGATTAAGTGACCCATTTTCTGAAAGCTTATTTGAAGATTCACTAGCTTGAGATTAGACTGATCAGGTTCAAATCCAACTTATATTCGATAGCTTTTACAACATAACGATCCATAGTGCAGATGAAGAAGAGTTAATATGTTTCTTGAAATCGGCTTATGAAAGGATATAATGGTCAGCGTTTATCAATCGCCTATAATTTCCTTAACGTGAGTTAGGTACCTAATACTGAGGAAGACATGAGAATTGCGTGCTGAACTTAAGACATTCGGTTTAACAGTCGAGCGCTCTATAACTCTACCATAAAGTCCCATATCACACAAATAAGTTATATATTTATGATAATACACTAAAGCGTATGTTGTTATCCTAACCAGACGAGCGTATGTGTGTTGATATCGGCTGTATGGAGACGGCCACCAGGGCCATGGAACTACGGAACAAAAGTGTTGACCCGTGTGAGAACTTCTATGAGTACGCTTGTGGCAACTACCAGAGCGTGGCACCGGTTTACCTGGATGGAGGTAAGGCTTATTAGGTATATATAACATCATCATATTATCCGGTTCGTGCCTAAGACACATGGGGCAGATGAAGTAGAGTTCACACGTTTTAGTAACCACAGCGTGATATGCTCTTCACTATGCCCAGCCACCCTTAGTTTTCTTAACATGAGTCAGAGTCGGTTAGACTCAAAGACGACCTACAGACTTGAGCTCGGGATCCGAACTCGAGACTTTCGGGTTAGCAGTCTTAAGCTCTACCGTTCGACCACATTGTCGGCGTAAACAAAAAAGTAGCCCTTAAAATGCTGTGCTATGATATACACTGTCAAAGATATAAGAATATACATAGAAAGTAAGATATAAGGTTGGTGCTAGAAAGATATACATAATCTGAGATACGAAACTATTCTAGTGGCGAGATAAAATTGAACCGAAAACATCATTATTTATAAAAATAATAATTTACCCATATCAAACTACATCCCAAGTTTAGATCCTAGATCTCGAATACATTGCGTTGTTACCTTTTTACTTCTGTGGGATCAAATTTTTGTTAATTATTTCTACAACAAATCTATTCACGCTTGCTGCTGTTTTATTTATAAAGGGGTAAATGTATCCGTAAACTAAAATTGTGTCGTCTTAGGCACCCGTAGTGTGCTACAAGACTTGAGGCAACAGAACGAAGATCGTCTCATCGACCTGATGGAGACTCCCATATCAAAGATGCACGACGCTTCGTCTGAGAGAAAACTCAAACAATATTTCCAGGGATGTAATAACATGTACAGGCGGGACATCAAGAGAGGTAACTCAGAGATATCTTCCAAACATGAAAGTATAAATATATCCCAAGCATGCTACTCCACCCTAAAAATAATCTGAGCTTTTTTATAAACTGTTTTATTATTTTAGCGATGTTAATAAAGATAGGAGTCAACGCCTTTTATATGCAATTTTGATAACTATATATGTTTAAATATGTAAAAGTGTGAAACTTTAAACTATTTAACAATAGCTTTTGTACGTAAAACAAGTACTAAAAGTATTGACATTATAAAAACTAATTGGATATTCTGATTCTTGCGGTTAAAAAAACAAACAAATAAAAATAACTTTTTTTTTTTTTATTACTTCCAGACGTAAAAACGATGATTACTATTATATAAAAAAAAAATAAAAATTAAAAAAACAAACAAAGGAAATATCCAAGACTATAGAGTAGACGGACTAAAACTAAATAAAGCTCCATGACCAGACGAACTAACCAGTGAATTTTATAAAACCTTCAAAAATGACTTAATACTCCCTTTACACGCTACATTTCAAGACATACATGAAAGAGGGGATTGTTCTACAGATTTTAACAGGGCATATACAGAGTTTCTTCCAGGCATCTCTTCGGGGGGGCGAAGCCCCCCCGAAAAATTTTTACCGCCCCCCCCCCGAACGAAATGAAATTTATATAATCTATATAGAAAATATATACTTTTAACAGTGTCCGCCCCCCCGAAGAAAGTTTACCGCCCCCCCGAAGATTTCAAGTGCCCCCCCGGAGAAAAAAGTCTGGAAGAAACACTGGGCATATATAACACTCATTCCCAAAAATGATACGGACAGGACAAAAATTATAAATTACAGACCTATATCTTTACTCAACAGTGATTATAAAATATTGACAAAAACTTTAGTTAAAAAACTCGAAAAGCGCTTTTCACATACAGAAATCAGTTAGACAAGGTTGTCCTTTATCTCCCCTAGTATGCATCCTTAGCTTAGAACCCCTACTAGAAAACACTAGACAGGACAACTCGATTAAAGTACTGTACATTCCAAACACGATAGGCAAGAAAATACTTGCATACGCAGACGACACTACTTTCTTAGTACAAACAGAAAAAGCAATACAGACTGTAATAGAAAAATTCAACAACTTTGGGAAAGGGAGCGGGGGAAAAATAAACGCAGAAAAATCAAAAGTAATGGGTATAGGTAAATGGAAAGGTAAAGATAACTATCACATAGATATAACAATAACTGACAAACCCAGAATTTATGGAATAACCTATACCAGCGATCCCACAATAAACGACCAAGAAACTTGGACCACACTGAAAAATGAAATAAATCACAATCAGGAAAAATACCAATACTGTAATACAACCATTTTTGCCAGAGCTGCATTAGTAAACAGATATATCATTCCAAAAATAATTTTCATAGCGACGAACTCTACAATACCCAACTCATTTATTTAAAAAAAAAACAAGCACATTAGAGAGTTCATTTTCAAAAACACGATTAGAAACATTAGCCACAAAACCTTAATACAAAATAAATTAAATGGAGGTATAGGGCTACACGACATTCAAACTAAAATAAACACCTTTCATTTAAAACACCTGGATAGAATAAGGATAGAACCACATTATCATCCATTAGCACAATACTACATAGGGTTAAACATAAAGAGCATTTTAAAATTAAACATCATAACACCACACTATGGGGGAAATGACATAGGCAGCTTTTATAAAGAAATGCTTGCAACATTTCAAGGAAACAAAAGCATTATTGGGGACGACACAAAAAAATATACACGACATCCTAATCAAACAACAAGCGACACCCTTATACACGAGAATTAGTTGGGCCAGGGAACACAATATAATAGACATTAAAGATACATTTAGAAACCTACATATATAATAAACGCATTACATCAAAAGAAAGGGAAGTAGCATACAGACTGATTTTTAATACAACTCCAGTTTCATGAAACACAAAGTCAAATCAAAATGTTAAAATAACATGTCAAACGTGTAAACAAAATATACAAGAAACTGAGAAACACATTTATTTAGATTGTATATTAGTACGGAAAGCAAAGCAAACACTTGCGAAAATATTAAACACCACCAATCAAACAGCCACAACAAATAAAGCAATCACACTTAATTTAATTAACACGACTAGACAAAGAACAGAAGACGAAAACAGACTAGTAGCAACGGCTATTTATAGATCGACTATATGGCAAATTAGGAATAAAGTCAGATATTTTTTCACAAAATACACGGACATCGAGTTAAAAGAAATATTTCAAGCAAAGCTAAGACATAGACTGGGAACTCTCACTTAACTGAGAAAAAAAGAAATGTACAGGAAATAAATAAATAAAGTATTAATTTTAATTTAGACAGTCTCAAGCCAAACATCACTCGATCAGCCCCCAAGTAAATTAACATTAGAACAGTCTTCTGTTTCCCAGGTTTTTAAAGTGCACAACCTGAATGGTAGAAAGAGATACACACCTCAACCCCCGCCCCCCCCACACACACACACACTTCCCCCCACTCAACCGGACTGGCGGATATTTCAAGGTAGCGTGCCTTCATCGCCAAGGGTCAATTTTATGTCATGGAAAGTTTTGGAATGATAGATCAGTATGTGTATTACAGAGACACTTCTCCCACGGTCGTTTCTATTTCTGTCCATGGGTGGCTACAATGTGAACTTTTGACTCCGCAGCACAGTAAACTAAGCAGTCAAGAGAAACCTAGTTTGCACACCTTATTTTAGTCTAGTTCTTATGCCATTTTATTTTCTCCCTTTAATTATTATATATGCAATTGATGTTCATTGTTCATGTCTTTGATGCTGTGTAAAATCTATCAAATATATTATTATTACTGATTTAAATGTTTAAAACAATTGAATTAATAAAAAAATTTAAAAAATTAAATTAAATTAAAAAAAACTGTTTGAGGACTGTATAGATATAGATGTTTGAAAGGGAAGAATGTTTGCTTTGATGTGTCTCATTGTAATAACATAACTTTTCCGATTGCTTAAAATTTGTATGATTTTAATTCTCGGTAATCCCAATTTTTTCTTCAGCTCTTCTTAAAAACCCAAATTCTACCCCCCCCCCCCCCTCCCCCGTCCCCTCAGTCCATCACGCCGAGAAAAAAAATCCATTGAATCATCATTTAATTACACATTTGCATTTTCAGTTTCAGGTTGGTTTTTTTTTTAAATTTAAAAAAAAAAAATTTCTTTATATTTAGACGTTTTGTATTAGATCTATGTATAAGTAAACCAGCTTAAATGAATGAAAGCAGGCTACAAGTAAGAAAGAAATATTACTATTGTAAATCTGTATCAGTCCTCACAAGCCGATGATGAAAACTGTAATACTAAAGCGAACACACAACTGACGCTATAAATTACGTGTCTGAGGCGAAAAAAAAAAAAAAAACAAAAAAAAAAACCGCCCACGTGGATTTGCATACGTGCAATTTGCAGATCCTCGTGATGCAGATGATGTATTATATCATCTTGATCGCACACAATTTTATGGAAGAGAGTTAGAGATAGTTTGCAAGAGGAGAAGAGGAGACAGAAAATCCCAGGTCAGATGAGAGGTAAAGAAAGGTCTTCACGTTGCTCTCCATATTCCAGATATGATGATTATGATCGTAGACGCAATCGTTCTAGAAGTCGAAGCCCCAGAAACAGATCACACTCAAGGAGTCCTTATAAAGGCAGCAGACGCAGTAGGACAAGAAGTCGTACACCTAAAAGAGAAAGGAGATCCTACAGTCATTCCAGAAGTAGATCAGCATCATATGATAGAAAGAAAGAAAATGGCTCAAGAAGTCGGTCAAAGACAAGATCCCCTGAAAAATCAGATAAAGAGGAAAGAGAAGATTCACGGAATTCTGCGGAATAAACATTTTCTTTTTAATTCACTTTGTAGCATTCATTTGCAGATATTCAATTTTTAAATATAAATGTACTGGTGTTCTTTTAATGTTTTAAATTGTTGGTTTTGAAATGTTGCATAGTGTAGATTATATCACTAATTTTAGTGTGGAGATTAATTATTATTGTAATTTTTAATTAGGTTAAGATTCAAATAGAGAATCACACTTTGCCAGATTAAAAACCTATAATGAAAAAAAAAGCTAAACGTGGGAAATGTTTTAATGAAAATAAACTAAAGAAGTAATAGATTACAATACACTTCATGCATGGTATAGAAAATGCTCTCCTTCTGCATTCAATTATGATAAGTCTTATAGTATTAAATAAATTAGCAAGTACATTTTTTTCAACTAAAAGAAGTCACATTTAATGTGTAAATAATGAAAGATTATTTTTGAAATGATGAATAATGTTTGATAATGTAAACATGTTGGTACACATTTCCCCAGGCTTTCCTATCCTGACCCAGATCGTCCCTGAACTTAGGGGGTGGAAACTTTTAGGCAACTGGAGACAGGACTGGGATTTTAATGACGCCCTGAAGAAGGTTCAGTCGGAGTTTTGGGTCGACGCCTTCTATTCAATTAGGGTAAAGATCAAACTTTATGATAGAATAGAACTGTAACTGGTCAGTAGAGACAGATAGGTCGTTGACTAAAGTTTTTACGTGTCTAGCTGTGGAATGACTGGTTTGTATGATATACTGGGCTGATATAATGGGCTGATATAATGGGCTGATATAATGGGCTGATATGTCTAGATGTGGAAAGACATAATGGGCTGATATAATGGAATTACATAATGGACTAGTATAATGTAATGATATAATGGACATATATAATGGACTGATATATTGAACTGGTATAATAATATAATCGACTGGTAAAATGGAATGAAATTATGGACTGATATAATGGACTAAACTTTGAACATATTAAAGTCTGGAAGGACTGGTTTGAGTGATATACTAGACTGATATAATGGACTGGTATAATGGACTGATATAATGGACTGGTATAATGGACTGATATAATAAACTGATACAATGGGCTGGTATAATGAACTAAAAGAATTGACACAAATTTGAACATGTCTAGGTGTGGAAGGACTGGTTTGAGTGATATAAAAACGACTGTTACAATGGACTGGTATAATGGACTAAAAGATTTGACTAAACTTTAAACGTGTCTAGGTGTGGAATGACTAGTTTGAGTGATATAAAAACGACTGTTACAATGGACTGGTATAATGAACTAAAAGATTTGACTAAACTTTAAACGTGTCTAGGTGTGGAATGACTAGTTTGAGTGATATAAAAACGACTGTTACAATGGACTGGTATAATGAACTAAAAGATTTGACTAAACTTTAAACGTGTCTAGGTGTGGAAGGACTGGTTTGACTCCACCAAGAGGGCTATTGAGATTTCCCCCGCGGGGACGGGCAGGTACATGTACTGGCGCTGGTGAGTATTGAAAGATTTATGTCTTTAAATTTAATAGAAGCTCCATACATTTTGAAAAGAAGTTATAAATACACGAGCCACAGAATTGCAAATTTTAAAAATTATCTAAAATTATTTCATCAAAATAATCGATAATCTATGCTTTGCTGTAAAAATAAAAGTTCCCTTTTCAAACCTGACGGTCTATAGGACAAGTAGAGTTCACTTGTTTCTGTGACTTCGGCATATGAAGAGATAGTGTGGTCAGCACTATGCCCAGCCGCCTTTACTTTCCCTAACGTGAGTTAGGTACCCATCAGAGTTGGGTGGACTCAGGGACGTTCTACTAACTTGAACCCGGATTCGAACTTGAGACACACGGGTTAGCAGTCCAGCTCTCTACCACTAGACCACTCCGTCCCATATGCTTTGCTGTACTTATTGTTTTAATTACAGAAAAATTGACCTTCAAAGATTGACACTTACTTGGTTTATAATATTCAATTATCCGCATGGTTTTCATCCTATCATACTAGGTACACAAGTCCAAACGCTGAATCATACCGTGACGCGTACAAGACGTATATTAGAAGAGTTGGCTCCCTTCTGGTCAATGACGCCATTACTCTGAACATCACCCAGGACAACGGGACAACAGAGTCAGATCTGGACGAGTTTGTCAACGATACCTTCACCATAGAGTCACACCTGGCGTCAGTGGCGTCTAAATCTGCCTACACGTCCGACGTATACAAGGACGCTAACAAGGTAAGTAATTGCATAAGTTGATCATTGGTGGTGTTAATATTAGACACTGTGGCAGATGCGACGAAATGCGAGGACGGGGAGTACGGATCGCATCGGATGACACCATTAAGGAGGGGGGGGGGGGGGGGGGGCGACACCAAGAAAAAAATGCAAGATATTTAGAATGAATGATTTTTTTCCCAGTTAATGGTTGTATTTAAATTGTATAATGACGACCCCGACAAGGGGGGGGGGGGGGTGAATTTTTCTCAGAAAGTTATTTTTATCAATTTTCCTCCTTGACCTGGTAACGGGTGTTACGTCACAGGACAAGTCAGATACATTATGTCCAATCTAGAAATGTTGTGGCTATTTGCTCCAAATTTTATTTATTTATTTATTTGTAGAAAGCTGGGGTATTTTGTTGTAAAATTACATGGATTTGAAAATGTTTGATTAAAAAATAATCACGCAGCGAATATTATTATTATTATTATTATTATTATTATTATTATTATTATTATTATTATTATTATTATTATTATTATTATTATTATTATTATTATTATTATTATTATTATTATTATTATTATTATTATTATTATTATTATTATTATTATTATTATTATTATTATTATTATTATTATTATTATTATTATTATTATTAAGGTTAATGTTAATGTTAATGTTAATGTTATTATTATTATTATTATTATTATCACTCCCGGTTTATTTTCTAAGAGGTACCTGGCTAACGTTAGGGAAAGTAAAAGCAACTAAGCATAGTCCTAACCCCACCGTTATTTTAATATACTGTGGTCAAGAAAAAAATGAATTTTACTTTATCTAGCCTATGAATCGTCAATTCAAAAGGTGAACTCTACGTTACTGCTTACTTAACATTTAACAATACAAAAAAAAACGATTTTCAATACATTATGCAATTTCTCAGTATTTAATTTGTATTTGCGCTTTTTAAATAATCTGCTTTAAAGCCAAATATACAAATTTACTCCAAAACCCATCTTTTACTCCATAATTACTATTAATCAGTATCAGTATCTTGTAATCGTTTGATTTGTGAATCAATTTTATTAGGTGACCTTGGCCGAAATTAGAAAGTTGTTTATTTTTAGGTGACCTTGACCGAGCTGACCAGTGAGTCCAACAACCTGATCAACTGGGTCCAGCAGTTGTCCTATCTCTTCAGCACCGCCAGGATCACCGGCGCCACTAAGGTCGTGCTGACACGCAGGGACTACATCCGGGACCTGACGGAGCTGATTGCGTCACTTCCTGCCAAGCACCGCAACCGGATGCTGCATAACTATCTGATATGGCGCGCAGCAGAGAATTACGTGTACGTTAAAAGATGTAAAAAAAAAAAAATTAGAGAAATCTATTTTGAACCTTTATTGGTACTAATGTATGATCGTAACGCCCACTGTCTCAAGAGGCATCAAATTATCACTACTTTGTTCTACCTCTATGTAGAAAACTGCCTGTTTGGCATTAAGCCTAAATACTCATTTTTTCCCATTGATCTTTTCCGTGTTTTTTCTTGGCCTATCGTTTTCTCTTGCCCTCTGGTCTACGCCTAGGAGTGGTATAATGAGTCCAATGCGTCAACTGTCATTCTTTGAATAAGATCCAACAATCTCATCTTTTGGGTCCGATAACTGCCGTTAATATTCAAATTACTGTTGTTCTTATCATACTCCTCATTTAACATTGTATTGGACCATCATATTCTAAATATTTAGCGCTAGCACGTATATTGGAATGCTTTTCGTTTTATATTTTAAACATTGTTTTCCCTCTGTTCAAAGCTATACAAAATGACACGCAGCACATTACTTTTAAATATACGTATTTTGGTAGATACATTTTATCATTCCCGATTTCATCAGTACTCCAAAGAATATATAAGCTTTTCCTATTCTATTTATAGCCGTCTGAAGACATCTACAACAGTTATGACTCCACTTTCCTAAAATATTAATTCAACAAATTCCTTTAACTGTTTGTCTTCAAGGATTAGTGTTTCCTAGACTTTGGAATTAGTATGTAATGGTCCGACGTATTAAAACATTGTTATATACTATAATAATGCTCCGTATTAATATACAACCCAATTTAACAAACCACCAGACTCCATCCCATATGTACTATAAGAATTTACAACCCATTATTGTTCCATTTACCATTGCTGATCTCTCACACGTTATTGTCCCATTTACCAACCATTGATGATATCTAGCACGGTATTGTTCCATTAACCATTGATGAATATCTCGCACGTAATTGTTCCATTAACCATTGATGAATATCTCACACGTTATTGTTCCATTTACCATTGATGAATATCTCGCACGTAATTGTTCCATTAACCATTGATGAATATCTCACACGTTATTGTTCCATTTACCATTGATGAATATCTCGCACGTAATTGTTCCATTAACCATTGATGAATATCTCACACGTTATTGTTCCATTTACCATTGATGAATATCTCACACGTTACTGTCCCACTTACCATTGATGGTTATCTCACACGTGTGTGTCCCCCACAGCATGGAGATGTCCTGGGACTACGTCCACGCCAACCGCGAGGTCTACGTGCTGCTGCACAAGCGAGAGAACTTCCTGGGCACCTACAGGTACTGTCTGTACACTGCCCAACGGCACCTGCAGGACGCGCTGAGCGCCCTCTATGTGCGTCACTTCTTCAGCCAGGAGAACAAAGAGACGGTGGGTGGTGGTCACGTGACCAGGTTTAGTGATTATGCTGTAGCAAGTGGCAAACTCATCGTTTTTTAAATAATGGATCTCTAATTTTCTTATGTGCATTTTAGTCAACTAATTAATCACGTGACCAGTTTCAGTGATTAGGTTGTAACAAGTGCAAAACTTATAATTTTAATAAATTTTATACTTGAATTGGTTTGAAATGTGTTTTAGTCAATTATCTAATTATTTTAGTTCAATTGATAAACAAGAATTTCAAATTTGTTAGGGAGAAAAGGCAGAGGCGTAGCGACCCTTCCCGGCATCCGGGGACAAACTTTTCAATTTGCACCCCCCTTAAGATTTCGATTTGCACCCCCCTCCCCCCCCCCCTCAAACTTTCGATTTGCACCCCCCCCCCCCCTCTCAACCTTTCAATTTATTTTTCCAACCCATTTTGCCCCCCCCCCCCCCCCTCGCTACGCTACTGAGAAAAGGACAAAGAGCAAAACGCAATTTATCCAAGTTTCAATTACTCAATGATATTTTTGTTTTGTTTTTCTTTGCTAAAATTGAAGACATTCACCTCTTCATTACTTGAATACTTAGCTACGTAATTATTGATGTTGTTAAATATAGAAAGCTAATAGTTTATTCGGAATTTCCATTTTCCATTTCTTATTTTTTATAATAATAACCAGCTGTTTTGTCGCTAAATAGCCTTTGGTTACATTAGCAAGCTACCTTGACTCTTGTGTTAGCAAGCTACTGATGTAATGTGTTTAAATTCTTTCTTTCTCCAGGTTCACGAGATCACAGACAACATCAAGCTGGCCTTACAGTCACAGCTAGAGAAGGCGCCATGGATGGATGCAACAACCAAACAATACGCCAAGGAAAAGCTGGATAAAACCATCTTCAAAATGGGGTACCCCGACTGGATGGGCAATCAGGCTAATGTGAGTCCTACTTTGTTGTATGGTGTGTTATAAAATAAGAGAAGTAGCTGTGTTTTCCTTGTTGTTGCCCGAGAATCTTATCATAAACTACACACGACTGGAGTATTTAAAGGGAGTTGTTTCAAAAGGTTAGCATGAGCGGCGCTAAGTTCTAAATCAATCAATCAAGCAATACATTATCGATGAAATCGGCTACTCCGATTGTTAATGAATGTTATTTTTTTTTTAATTTAGTACATTCAGGTTTACGATTATGATAAGTGGCAGAAATATCCTTAGAGATAAGGGTAGCGTTAGACTGGGACAAAGATATCAGCTAAATTATCGAAGGGGGTCGTTCATAAATGTAGTCACACTCGTAGGGGGGTCCGTACGTGTGACGGTGTGTGATGAGGGGGAGAGGGGGTGGGGGGGGGGGGGGTTCAGATGGTGCGACGTCACACTTTTGCATTACAAAAAAGCAATGCTAGAAAACGAAATTTAGACGTTATTTCGCGTTTTAGAAAACTGTTTTAATGAATTGTATTATGAATTGATTGAAATACTCCATTTTGACAGACTTCAGACAAGATTTTGGAAAAATATCGATGTTTTAAGAAAAATTCAACTGCAATTTTGAGGGGAGGTTGTAGGCTGAGGTGTGACGTCATTTGGGGGGGGGGGGGTCTTGATTTTTGTGACGATGTGTGACGGAGGGGATGGGGGAGGAGGTGAAAATCGTCAAAGAAAGCGTGACGTCATTTATGGATGACCCCGAAAAGTATTTTACCTACGTTTTACGTTCTAGATGTCGCACATGTCAACAACGGCTACACTCATATTTATTTGTCTCCCTTGTTATTAACATTTTCCCTTTAACTCTACATAGACTTTAATCTCCTAAACAATGGGGGACTATTGTTCAAGTCGATTTACCGAATTCAAAATAATACACACTGTTTAGTCCTTTATTTTTCTTACGTTATACACATTTCACAACAACAAGCTATTAAGTCAAAACTCTGCCGTAACAATCGTTCACACCACTTTTATATCCCCATTCGACCTTAGGGCAAATAATACGAGAACTCAGGACTAACTACAACTCACACTCGCTACCCCAGAGGATCGAAACTATTTTTATCATGCTTTAAACGTTATACTTAACAACAACCAAATGGTTTTGTTAAAACTAACTTCGTGTGTTGTATAATACATCAACGGGTTGTCTCCACCAGGTTGACGAGATGTACAACGGGTTGACCATCAACGTCAGCGACCACTTCGCCAACCTGCTGAGCATCAACCAGTACTACCGCAGTCTGATGATAGACGATCTGATCAAGGCTGACGAAGGGCGCGAGGAGTGGCTGGTCCCTATCTACTACACTCTACTTTACCTGTACTGGCCGTGGAACGAAGTGGCTGCTCCGGCAGGTAGGCGATAATTAAATGATTGCTCATAAAGAAAGGAAAACGGGACCTATGCATTTTTTATGAATTCAATATTTGTGCTAATTTGTATCTATTTACATTGTAGGATACTATAAAGCTATTTCAACAGAACGAGGGGGGGGGGATAGACCAATTCTTATTAATTAAATAGAAATCCAGAAAAAATGCTCCATTTTGTAATTAATCAGAATTGAATAGTGTAAGAAGAGGTTATATTTTTGTACGTTATTTTAGCAAAGTATACATTTAATTGACTATTCTTAGTTATAATTTTTATACATCCTTCTTCAACGTTAAACTTTAAGCCCACATTTCCTAAGGTAGTGACTGATGTTTGGACTGTTACTTAGTGTTTAATCGAAATAGTTTTTCTTTTTACCAACAACGGTCTAAATTGTTCAAAAATGTATACATATCACAACTTAAAAAGTAAAGAATGCAAGAAAGCCTTTTAAAATGTGTGTTTGTTTTTTACTCCCAGGAGTTCTTCAGTACCCGATCTACTCCAAGAAACAGCCGCACCACGCGACGTTTGGTTCACTCGGCAGCCTCCTGGGTCGTACCCTACATCACGTGGTGGACGAGTGGGGGAAATGGTACGACCAAAATGGCAACTACATGAAAGAACAGGGTTCATGGTGGTCTAACGCTTCCCTCACGGCGTACGAGACGGTCAGAAAATGCGTCTTGGACGTCTATACTAACGTCACGAAGACGTATATTTATCCTGACGGGACGTCAGTCAACGCCAAACTAAATGCTGAAAGACACACGCCCATGGCGATTGCTTGGACCAATGGGATAAGGCTCGCGTTGATTGGCTACAAGGATTGGGTCAAAAGTCAAGGGATCGTTGAGAAAGTTTTACCCGGAACTGGGTTGACCAACGAGCAGATGATTTTCCTTGCGCATGCGCAGACGTTTTGTTTCGCAAACGATGACCGTCAGAATTTAAATGCCTGGATGAAAGGTCAAGTTGTTAACGATGTGAAGGTCAACATGGCACTGGGTCAACTTAAAGAGTTTTCTAAAGCTTTTAATTGTAAACCCGAGGCTAAGATGAACCACAAGGTCAAGTGTGACTATTATTAGATTTTATACGCCATTATTTTAATTGCTTATATCAGTGTTGGAGATTATCAATACCTTAACTTCTGTTACATTTCTATTGAATTTCTGTTTAATGTTATCAATTTCTTGTTAGTACCTCGCTTCTAAATTTTACAACTCAAATTTATCGTCATTGCTATACTGAATTTTGTAAATCACTACAATTTTGAATGTTATCAGATTTTTCAATGGCTTGTAACTGCTTAAAGAATAATTTCTTTTCAATAAAAACACGTACAACAATTACATTGCTCTGCAATTTGTGAATGAATGTTAGTTTAAAGACACATTACATTAAAGGTTGTTTGTGACTAAAGTTGACGGTTCGGAAAAAAAGCAACTTAATTCACAATTCAGGGGTAACTACCAACATATTTTAAAGTAGTTATTTCATGAGGGTCAACCTCATTTATTTAACAATCCGAGTATGTGTGGTGTAGTAACAACTTTCAAGTATGTTGAACATTGTTTGATTTGTTCACGAACATTTTTGACTTGTTTATGAACATTGTTTCATTTGTTCACGAAAATTTTGGATTTTTTTATGAACAAGGTATCATATGTTGGTGAAAATGGTTGGATTTGTTCATGAACATTGTTATATAGGAACACGATCTAAGCTCTAAGGCGTTAGAACGAAGCCTGACGACCGTCCCATAAACTAAAGCTCTATTCTACTGACTGCTTGATCGTTGTCTGAAAGTGGACTGTATTCAATTGCTTTTTTTTTTAATTCTTAGGATTAAAGAATAATTTTAACACACAGAGGCGTAGCGACCCCTCCCGGTGCCTGGGTACAAACTTTCAATTTGGCGACCCCCCCCCCCTCGGGACAAACTTTTAATTTGCCCCCCCCCCCCACTTATTTTAATAGTTATAATGCAAAACTCCAGCTAAAAGGAGCTTTTAATTTGTTTTTTAAACCCATTTTGGCGCACCCTAGAGTGGGCGCCCGGGGACATATGTACCACCCCCCCCCCGCCCTCCCCCTCGCTACGCCTCTGATAACATCATTTATTAAGCAATCGATCAATACCATTGTAAGATTCAATTGTTTACCCATAGCTGACTACATTGTAATGTGTATGACTGAAATAGTTTCATTTTATGAGACCTAACAAACGATGTAGTACTTCAGGCTTGTGCATGGTACAGAATGATACGTAAGTTAATGAATCAGCCACAACTATCGGCTTAATGACCGTATCTGTGATACATCACGTGTGGTTTATTTGTCAAATGTCAGTTTGTGTGGACAACAGATGTAATCAATTTTCTACTGAATGCGTCTGCTTGTATTCATAGTGTGAATACTGAGACAAATATCTAGATAGAATAAACAATGGACTATTTGGTAGGTGGTTTAACGGCGTAATATAACATGCCACATACAATGAGTTATAACAAACAAGACACATATTTAAATATAATAAACCATGGGCTATTTGGTAGGTGGTACAACGGCGAAATAAAACATGCCATATACACTGAGTTATACCAAACAAGACAACGTTGTTGTTTTTACCAGCAAATAAATACAACAAAGCCCTGACTCAGGAAAGGCTGTCAGTTTTAGACATGGCCAGCATTGGCATGTAAAGATCTAGTACTGGGCAATCATTTGATAAAAGAAAGACAAAATCACATCAAATGAACAATATTAATTAAAAACAAATTTTAAAAACGAAAATTATCTCACAACTCGATCCTGTATCTGATTATCTGAATAACAATGGAAGATATGAGTCGAGGGTAGGTTTGTTTCTGTGCGTGTATGTCAGTGTTTGTGTGAGGGAGGAGGGTGGGTGACGGCGTTATTTAGTCATCCAACCAGACAGCTCAATGTGTTATCAAATTAACCCTCTCATAAGGACAAGGTTAGGATTTTAAAGTTTGATATCCACATACTTTAAGACAAAATGGGAGCCATGCATAACACACATACACACACGCTCACACACACACATTTATATATAGACATTAAAAATGTCTTCCTTTTATCTGTTTAGACAATGGAGGTACCCAGCTAAGTAGAATATTAGATTGTGAATCGGGGCATTAGATTGGGGACCTTATATAGCCTAAACTTCGTAATTCTTCTCTCGATCTTTGCTGGTGAAGTCACAAGAATTGCTAAGCTACGTGGTGTTTTGTACCAAGTTCAATTGCAGAAGCTACTGAAAGGAAACTAAATTTTGTAATTCTATTTCCAAACTTTTGTATGATTTCGTTTTTTTTTTTTCTTTCAATAACGAGTTAGCAACGATAACCCAGCAAGTTTCTGAGAATGTCAATTAAAAGAGTAATCCCCCCTGTGCTAATATTTTATAGGCAACCATGAGTGAAGACTATTACACCTACCACTGAGCTTAAAGTTCTACAAGCAGTCGCCGAGAGATAATTTTTGTAGGAAGCGAAACAAAAGTTAGCGTGACAGTACCTGACAAGTCTAGATCACGTTTCATTATGTCAATTAAAATTCACAACCGGACCTGGTGTCCATAGCATCCAGGTCACGTGTCACAGGTCACGTGTCACAGGTCAGCACCTGAACACCTGTCTGCAGGTGACGCTGTACCACAGGTAGACGCTGGAATGAAGGGAAATTAGTGAGCGTTTTCTTGATTATCTTTCTATGTGGATTGTTGAACTGGTATTTTGTGACATATAAATATTACGTTTAAATAGTGTGTAAATATTGTTACAATTTGTAAAATTTTGTTTTATTATAAAATTACATATCCGATATTACTATTAAGTATATTTTAATATTTTGTTTTTTGTTTTTCCAAATATTAATTTTATTTTCCAAATACTGTTTAAATCTATTTAGAGAACTTTTAAAAATATACACATCTCGGTGTACTATAGATAAATTTATGATATCTATTTTATGTTAAAGATCTTCAATTTTATTTTCCGAAGGTGCTAACAATATCTAATCACATTTTCCGTCTTTGTTTTGTCGTGATCTAATTAAGACTTTTGTATTTAAACGATTGTGATTTAAGAAATTTAAGTTCTTATTATTACAAAAATATTGTTAAGTATAAACTAAATTATTCGTGACTTTTTGATATTGTTCGATTTAAGTAGAGTTGAAATGTATTTATTTTCGAAATTGAATAGAAAACATCAGTTAAATTTTATTGGAATTAAATCTCTTATCAAGGATTTTATTTTTTTTACTACTATTTTATTTTTGGGGGGAAAAAAGCAGATCTGACCAAAGAAACCAACTTGACTCAGTCCAGACATATTTAACAAATCAAAAATGTGCAAGTTACTTTTCATCGATTTACATATATTTTTTCACAGACGATCAAGCGGATGTTAATACATCGACCAAGTTGTTGACGTATTTTCAAAATGGCGGACGAATTTAAGTCGTTTGACAAGACACCCATCATTAACCTCATCAATCTAAACAGATGGAAGTTTGGTCTAAGGGAGATTATTCTCGGAGCCATCGCCCTTTTGCTCTTGTTTCTCTGCGTCATTTTAGCCAGTCTGTTTGGTAAAGCCAACAATGAGTTATCGGAACTGGCGGCTACACAAAGCCAAGCTTACATTGGTAAGAGTTTCGTGCTACGGATACGGATAATTCCTTCCTTTTGTAATAATCGTTCAAATACAACCAAAATGTCGACATCGGCTTCACATTAAGGTTCTTTCCTTGTATATATATATATATATATATATATATATATATATATATATATATATATATATATATATATATATATATATATATATATATATATATATATATATATATATATATATATAAGTAAAGGTCCATTAAGACCTTATGATCCTTATGGCAGATGAAGTAGAGTGCGTGTGTTTCTTAACCTCGGCATTTGAAGGGATGGTGCGGTCAGCCTTGTGTCCGGGCACTGTTACTTTCCCTAACGTGATTTAGGTACCTACCATAGATATGTCGATTCAGGGAATGCTGCAGACTCAAGTTAGGTCCGGCATCCGAACTTTTGACTTCCAGGTTGGCAGTCGTGCGCACTACCACTCAACCACATTCCCACCTGATAATTAGTATTTTAAGAAAACATTTGCAAACAACCGTACAGTTAATGCTGTACTGTTATTGTGTTTAGAATCCCGTTTTACATTATTTCTGTTCAAAACGCACAAAAATGTTAACAAATTGAGCTTCGAAACCAATATAGGAAAGAATTTAAACCTAAATTACGTTTTATTGCATATACGTACTGTATGTTTATGAAACACATGTGTGTTATTCCCATTTCTGCCTAAATTTCAGCATCCTTCCGGGAAAATTTCCGGGTTGAGGTGGAGATTTTGGTTTCGGTTTAGAGAAAATACAGCACTATCAGCCTTGCGCCTTTTATGATTCTCCTTAACGGTCCTTTCATCTAGTCATTAAAAATTGATACAATGGTTAATAAATATTAAATCGTATGTTGTTATTCTAACCAGACGAGCGTATGTGTGTTGATATCGGCTGTATGGAGACGGCCACCAGGGCCATGGAACTACGGAACAAAAGTGTTGACCCGTGTGAGAACTTTTATGAGTACGCTTGTGGCAACTACCAGAATGTAGCATCGGTTTACCTGGATGGGGGTAAGTGCAGGTTAATTTGTTGCATCTTTTTGGTAAAGAAATCTAGTAACTTCAGTATTTCATAATGCATATTTGTAAAAAAAAAATAAAAAAATAAAAAAAAATACTAAAATATTGCAATGGGAAACAACTGCGGGAACCAGGAAAGTTATTCAATTACTGAGTTAATTCCCTTACTATGTTATCTAGTATTTCTTCCTCACAAAAAAAAAAAAAAAAAAAAAAAAAAAAAAACCCACGTATCTATGTATTTGTGGGTGTTTGCCATTGAGCATTAATATCGGTTCTAATGAGTGTAATTCTATGTAAAAAAAATTAAGACATTTTGTATCACCTTAGGCACCCGTAGTGTGCTACAAGACTTGAGGCGACAGAACGAAGATCGTCTCATCGACCTGATGGAGACTCCCATATCAAAGATGCACGACGCTTCGTCTGAAAGAAAACTCAAACAATATTTCCAGGGCTGTAACAATTTGTACACCCGCGACAAGAAGAGAGGTGAGTATAATGTAGAAATATGACTTTACGTGTAAATTGGATGTCTGTACACTTTCAAAGTTCCAACATCTAACTCTATAGCTGTAAGCTCGGCATGTCCAATATTTCTGACGTGAATAATCAGACTTGAATACGTGCCTCATCCGACCCCACCCACTATGCCACCTTGGATATTGTCCAGTTAAAGCCCGCGACTAATGCAAAAAGTGCAAGGGCGAAAAGTTAAGCCCCGCCACACATAATTTATTTCCGATGTCTTTACATTTGAATATTTAAACACAAGGCATTAAAGAAACTTCTTATCTGCCTTTAGGATTAGGGTTGGGGTTTGGGTTAGGATTGGGGTTGGGGTTAGGATTGGGGTTGGGGGTTAAGCTTAGAGTTAAAGTTATGGTTAAAGGTACCAAAATGCAAACCTTTTCATTCAAATTATCACTATCATGTCCCAATATCACTTTCTTCAATAAAATCTATTGAATATAATAGATAATATTATAATATTTCTATATAATATTTCTATAATAGTTTTTTGGTGGCCGGGAATTACTTTTTTGCGGGGCTTATCTGCACAGGTCCCGTCACCTTTACACACCACCCAGCTTCTCCATCGCAACCAATCCACCAACCACCTCTTGATTCACCCATATAACTGCAAATATATATTGAATACCATCTCCATCGACTATATTCAAACACACTACCCATTAATTTATGAAGGTAGATATTACTTAAAGATAAATACAAATGGTAGCTGCATTGAGTCTTCGCCACCACACTTTTGTGTGCTGACGAAGACCTTAGGTCGAAACGTCCAAACTATTTGTAACTTGTCTTTAACTTATGAGGTATTTAACACTGTCTGTTTTGTTACTAATGACTTATGCTTATCATTCGTTTATTTACACTGGACGCTTTACAAATAACAAATCTGTAAATCTTCGTTTTTACTGAACAAGATTTTAACACCCCTAACATTTTTGTCAATGTGGTCGTCCAATTGTACAGGAAGACCGTTACTGGAACTAATCAATTCTGAACTTGGGGGGTGGAAACTTTTGGGTAACTGGAAACAAGACTGGGACTTCAACGACGCCCTGAAGAAAGTTCAGTCGGAGTTCTGGGTGGAGGCCTTCTACTCCCTTCACGTGAGTACATTCTTGGGAGGTTGCCTTCTATCACATGTGTGTTGGTGAGCATAACTCTGGGTTAAAATTGTTGATCGGTTTTCTTAAAGTTAGAACACTATTTCTTTTTATTATGTGGAAGTAGGAATTAGATGGAATGGGGATTTTATATTGTTCACGTGGAGACTTTAAAATATTCATTTGGGTTTTTATGTTAAATAGTTACAAAAATTGTATACATATTCTCTGACTACGAAGTTGAAAGAATTGTCAATGAGAGAAGAGGTCGGCGTCGTCGGGTCGGTTAAGCTCATGGTTGCTGAACCGAAAAGTCTCGAGTTGGGGACAGCCACTCATCTAAGAGAGACAACTCCAAAATAAAACAACTGTTCCTTTTTAGTTTGTTGTTGGAATCGGAGTCAACGGTCTATAGGGGCATAATAAATTCACAAGTATTATTTATGTTGGTGGAAATCCATTCCAACATTATAAAATAAAAACGTAAATAACTGGAATAATTTCATAACTGCCCTAAAATAAAATCAAACGGACAAAACTATCTACTTTTACAGGTAGGAAGAGATTGGTACGACCACACTAAAAGAGCCATTGAAATTTCTCCGGCAGGTACGGGGAAGTACATGTACTGGAGTTGGTGAGTACTGAAAAAATTATTTGCTCAAACAAGGAAAATATTGACAATTGCCGTGATATGCTTGTGGTATACACTCATATTTTCCCCATCTTCTTGTAGGTTTATAAGCCTTGATTAGCTTAGTTACATTTTGTAATCATTGCCAAATGGTTTGTTCAAAGATTTTTTTTTCTCGCATATTCAGGTACACTAACCCAAACGCTGAATCATATCGGGACGCGTACAAAAAGTTTATTCGAAGAGTTGGCTCCCTTCTAGTCAATGACGCCATTACTATGAATATCACCCAGGACAACGGGACAACAGAGTCAGATCTGGACGAGTTTGTCAACGATACCTTCACCATAGAGTCACACCTGGCGTCAGTGGCGTCAGAATCTGAATACACGTATGACGCCTATCAAGACGCTAACAAGGTCAGATCGCGTCGCAACATTCATTACAGTAAACAGGGTTTCTTTCAAATGAAGGGGAGAGTATTAGAAACATTCGGAATACAGGGTTTCACTTGAAACTTCCGAAGTGGATGAGGGAGGAAGGGAGGGAGGGAGTGGACACTGGCTAAGTTATATATTTTCTATATGAATAAAATATTTTTTTTATTTGTTCAACCAGGCGCAAAAAACACCGCCCCCCCCCCCCCCATCACCCCCTCGAGAGATGCCTAAATAGCTCAGTGTGCATCATATTATTTTAAGTGTCACTAAAATATGTAACAAATGTGACCGACGATCTTTAAATCCTACCCTTTCGTACACTCATAAATTAGACGGGCTTAAACGTTACTAAACTAAATGTGAAATCTGATTGGTAGTAGAGAAATGAGAATGTTGGTGATGAGGTATGATAGTTCTGGAGTTCGGGACTATCGAGTATTGTGGTACTAAGGTATCGAATTATAGTGACTGTTAAAGTGTATTAGTAGGTCCAGTGAAATCGTTGTTGATGGGAGTACCGTTTGTAGAGCTTGGTGAAGTTAAGCGAGTTAGTGTCGTAGTTCTGGAGCATTGAGTCTAGTTATGTTTATATATCGAAGTTTGATATGTGTTGTGAATGTAGTAGAGTATATCGAGTAGTCGAGTTTATCGTAAGTTAGATTATTTTAATTCAGTACGGAACACACTACAAAGAAAGGTAGGCGTTCTCTAGCTGAAAAATCTTGATTTTTAGGAATCTATATTACCACTCTTAAAGTATTAATATTTATTAAATAGGATGGAATTTATAACTAACCGTAAAAATTTGTTTTTTTTTAAATTACACTTTTGTCTATATTTAATCAATAATTCTAGCAGTCTAAAACAGTCACCCGTGTTTGATTTTTTGTATGACATCCCTTTATTAGGGGATCCAAAATTTCATGAAAGTTTCATTAAGATCCCATTGATGTTACGTATGTCATCAAAATTCAACAGAAATATGTTATAATAAAGCTACAATTTTTAGACTTTCAAACAAAACCTACAGTTAAGTAATCAATAGGTAAAATATATTCTTTTTACAAGGTTACAAAGCTAATTTAAAAGATGTGTTATAATTATTACGTAATTAAATTTATACAGTTTTATTGTGTTTTTCAAACATGTCTTAGTAACACTTGGTTAATTTAGCAATTCTAGTGTAAGTTATTTCCCTTGAATACAATTTTGTTATTTTGATTTTCAAAAGAAGATACATATAAATACAACTTTAAGTTATTATTTGCTACTGTAAAAATCATATAGAACTTAAGTTAAGGTCTAAAAAAATAGTTTGGTAGGTTTTTTTTTTTAGCATTATCAAGTTTAAAACAAATACATCAGTAGCCGTTGTAGATTGCAATACTTAATGTTAGTAAACATACAGTTTTAGTCGTATATTAAACATCTAATTGATTGTCTTTTCATATTTTTCACCCTCTGTTAAAGGATTCATATATAACAATTTTAGGTTGGAATCTATACATTTATAACATTTTATTTTTCAAAAAGCGAAAAATCGTTACATAATCACACAATATAGACATTTTACAATTATAACTAAAGACAGTCAAGCTTAAAACAGGTAAGTTCCGTTTTGGAACTCACCTTGGGAGGACTGCAGAGTCCAACACTACAAGAATTTTTTTTCAGTGGTTTTTTCCAGCACTTAAAATTTTCTAAGGGGGGGGGAGGGGGGGGGGGACGGGACTATGTCGTAAAGTACAAAGTAGAATCGTGGGCTGAGCAACAATTTCAATAAAATGTGATTACGCTTGCAAACTGGAATTGAAGGAATTAGTACAAATTTTTGAGACGAAGGAGGCAAGTAAAATTAGATTTTGATGTCTACTTATAACGTGTATGCAATTGATAATAAATTAATATGTCACTTTTAATGAATTGTTTTCTGATACATATGTTTTAATAATTTATTTGTGTGAAAAGGGGCGTTTTAATAAGTCTTGCCAAGGGCGCTAAATAACCTGGCGCCGGCACTGAACACAACAAAGTTTAAACTAGATTAAAACTTTGTTTAAAAAAACATTATACCAGCGGTAGAGAGCTGGACTGCTAACCCGTAAGTCTCGAGGTTGAATCCGGGTTCAAGTCAGTAGACCGTCCCTGAGTCCACTCAGCTCTGATAGGTACCTAACTCACGTTAGGGAGAGAAAAGGCGGCTGGACTTAGTGCTGATCACACTATCTCTTCATATGCCGAGGTCACAAAAACAAGTAAACTCTACTTCACTTGCCCTTACACCATCAGGTTTAAAAGGGAATTTTTTTTTAACTTTAAAATAAATTAAAACTTTGAAACAAAGCTAAGTTGTCTTTCTTTCATCTATAATAGTAAAATGTTTCTTAAGAGATCTTTCCCAAACGAAATAGAAAGTTGTTTATTTTTAGGTGACCTTGACCTAAATTAGAATGCTGTTTATTTTTAGGTGACCTTGACCGAGCTGACCAGTGAGTCCAACAACCTGATCAACTGGGTCCAGCAGTTGTCCTATCTCTTCAGCACCGCCAGGATCACCGGCGCCACTAAGGTCGTGCTGACACGCAGGAACTACATCCGGGAACTGACGGAGCTGATTGCGTCACTTCCTGCCGAACACCGGAGCCGGATGTTGCATAACTACCTGATATGGCGCCTGGTTGAACGTTATGTGTTGGTATTTTTATCATTTAAAAAGTATAGTTACAAGCTTATATTGGTATAAAAACTCAAAGCACTGTAACGTGACAGGTGTGGTCTGGTGATAGAACAATTGACTGCTTACATGAAAGTCGTGAGTTCGTATCCCTGGTTCAAGTCAGTGGCACGCCCCTGTGTCCAGCACATTTTGATGGGTAGGCTACCTCAATAACGTTAGAGAAAGTAAAGGCAGCTGGGCATAGTGCCAGAATCAGACACTCTTCTGAAAGTACGGTTGCCATGGTAACTATTGGCAACGGCGGCGATCATGAAAATAAGCTATGTTTGAAGTCTCAGGGTTAAGACTATCATATATATATTGGTCGTATAATCAATGATCCTTCCTTAGTTCGGCAAGCTAGCTAATTTTTGTAACAAAACACTCGATAATTTTATTTTATTTTAAAAAATATGATATAGGGCTGGTAAGTAGGTCACCAACTAGTTTTATGGCTCACGCAGGTTTTATTGAGCCGTAGAGCTGGTTGGTGACCTACTTACCAGCCCTATAGTGAAATACCATGAAAATAAATGCTAAATTTAATGGTATTTCACCGGAAAGCGTTAGACTGGAATTCCCGGGGAAGAGGAAAGTAGGCCGGCCAGGTGAAGAAGAGTTGAAAAACAGACAAGGCCTGCGGGGTTCACGTGGGCACAAATAGATAGAGCAGCCCAAAACTGAGGGGTGTGGCTGCATCCCTTTGCTCCCCAGGGACCACAAGGGAATAGAGAAGAGAAAAAATAATTCATGGGAAACATTCGCGGTTCTGCTGGCCGTTTAGTAACAGATTAACTCTACTTCACCTATCCCGATTCACCTTTCGGTACGTCTCTCCCCACTCCACAGCACGGAAATGTCCTGGGACTACATCCACGCCAATAAGGAGGTCTACGTGTTGCTTCACAAGGTGGAGAACTTTCAGGGTCTGTACAAGTACTGCTTCCTCACTGCCCAGTGGCATATGCAGGACGCACTCAGTGCACTCTATGTGCGGCACTTCTTCAGTGAGGAGAACAAGATGGCGGTAAGACAAGTGCATGAATGGTGGTAAGACAGGGTCGAGGACATGAATGGTGGTAAGACATGGTTACATGCATGAATGGTGGTAAGACAGGCTCGAGGGCATGAATGGTGGTAGACAGGGTCAGGGGCATGAATGGTGGTAAGACATGGTCAAGTGCAAGCTCTGTGTGTGCCGAATGACAATAAGACAGTGTGTGAACAAGTGATGATAGTAAACAACTCTTAACACTGAGAGTCTAAAAAAAAAGATAAAGGCAGTCTAGCTTATGTGTTTTCCATCGATCGTAAAATCACAAACCGTCTTTAATTTCCCAAATATAAGTCAGGTAATCCTACCCGTTAGTAAAACAAAAAAAAGACAAATTGTAAAGTCTAAAATATGATATTTATTTCTCTTTTCACCGTAGTTCTCCTTGGTTTGTTATGTGTTCGGTTTTTCTAGTATTATTTTTACTTTGACGTTAAAGAACGACTAGCTTTGTCTATTATTACATTTGACTTTCTCCCCCTGTCCAGGTTCACGAGATCACAGACAACATCAAGCTGGCCTTACAGTCACAGCTAGAGAAGACGCCATGGATGGATGCAACAACCAAACAATACGCCAAGGAGAAGCTGGATAACATCCTCTTCAAGATGGGGTATCCAGACTGGATGGGCAACCAGGCAAATGTGGGTACACATATGATGTTCAATCAACACTATGGCTTTTATTATTACGGCTAGAAATAGGGGAAATGATAGTCTGTTGCCGTGTGTTTAATAATTCCATTACATATATATATATATATATATATATATATATATATATATATATATATATATATATATATATATATATATATATTATAGCTTTTTTATGTATGAATATCGTTAAGATTTGCGATACAATCCAATACAATCACAAGTAAAAAAGCTTCAAGATCTCCAAAATAGTCACATAAAATGTGCTGAAGCCGGTATTTGTTTTAACCAGTTAGCCAAACTGTGTTGTTGTTTCGGCCTATCTGGCTAAATGAGGTTCAATCATGGATGCTCTAGTTAAACTTTGAGTTCATTTCCACGTGGTAGGAGGTGTTTGTTTCTCATAGACAAGAAACCGGCTCGAGAAACCTTCCTTGAGTACAATTTGAGACTTTTCAAATCGTCGAAAAATTGTTTTTTAACTGCTAATGTTTGGATGTAACCACCAGGTTGACGAGATGTACAACGGGTTGACCATCAACGCCAGCGACCACTTCGCCAACCTGCTCAGCATCAACCAGTACTACCGCAGCCTGATGATCGAGGAGCTGACCAGGGTGGGGGAGGATCGGGAGGAGTGGTACGACCCCACCTACTCCACCGTGCTCTACCTGTACTGGCCGTGGAACGAGTTGTCGGCCCCTGCAGGTACGCCGTTGTTTGTGGGCGGTTGTAATGTTTGGTTGTTGTTGGCGGTTGTGGTGAAGGTTTAGCTGGGTGGGCTTGGTCTAGTAAATCACCCCCCCCCCGTTATCAATTACCCCGTTTGACTTATCCACCCCCCCCCCTTGCTAATTCCCCACTCCAATCCGTCATTAAGCCTGGATCAATTGCCCATGTTAATTACCCCCCTCCACCTCTCCCCCACCTCCCCCCATGACCTTTAAGATTTAACACTAGTGTGGTGGATTGGTGGAATAATTCTTAAACATAGGCGTTTGCGATGTAAAAATTCATATACAAATACAATGTAAGTATAGTCGAATTATTACAGAATAACATTTGTGTAGAAGAAATATCTTGTTTTACATGATAACAGTAGTAAAATATGCAACACAAAAACACAAAATAAGAATCAGAACACAATGTAAGTTTACGGCAACAAACAAATTGAATAAGAACTTTTATTACAATAACTTTAAACTCTCAAATTGTAATTTATTTGTGGTTGTTTAATAAAGCTTGGTTCCATTTATAATTTTGTAAACGCAAACAAGCAAAGATCTCATTATGCAGATATATATATTATTAGATATTATTTCGAGCAACGTTATTTATTGCACTTATTTATAACTTTTTTGTGTAAATTATGAGAATTTTAGTGAAGTCAGTTTCTTATTTATCAAGATAAATAATGGTTATAATTATGTAGAAAAAAAAAATATTTTTTTAACCTTAGGAATTCTTCAGTACCCGATCTACTCTAAGAAACAGCCGCACCACGCGACGTTTGGTTCACTCGGCACCATCCTCGGTCGTACCCTACATCACGTGGTTGACGAGTGGGGGAAATGGCACGACAAAAATGGCGACTATATGGACGAGTATGGGACGTGGTGGTCCAACGCTTCACTCACGGCGTACGAGACAGTCCGGAAATGCGTCTCAGACGTCTACAGCAACGTCACGAAGACGTACACCTACCCGGATGGGACGTCAGTCAACGCCCAGTTAAACGTCCAATGGTACACGCCCATGGCGATCGCCTGGACCAATGGGATAAGGCTCGCGTTGATTGGTTATCAAGATTGGGTCAAAGGTCAAGGGATCGTTGAAAAAGTTTTACCCGGAACTGGGTTGACCAACGAGCAGATGATTTTCCTAGCGCATGCGCAATCATACTGTGTGGCAAACGACGACCGTCAGAAGTTAAATGCCTGGATGAGGGGTCAAGTTGCTAACGATATCCGGGTCAACATGGCATTGGGTCAACTGGAAGAGTTTTCTAAAGCCTTTAATTGTAAACCCGAGGCTAAGATGAACCACAAGGTCAAGTGTGACTATTATTAGATTTCTACGTCATTATCATGTTATTTTTTTCTCTTTACTTTTTTTGTGTTGTGTATCCCACAGAGCTTAAATTAATTGCTAACGATAACCTTGGATCAAAACGTTAATTGTATGCCCTGTATAATATTTAATTTTAAAACTTATTTGTCTATTTTAATTATGTTTTCTTGTCAAATAAATACTTTATACAGCCATATTTTTATTTTGTATATGTTGATTTTTAGGTTTTAAAGAGTTGGTTACGAAATATATATTACAGTACACACTATTGTGTTTGTTGGTTCTTTAACTAAAACATTTTTAAGTAATTGGAATTTCTTAATGTATAATTATTAAACCTTTCCCTTTGTACATGCACGAAGTTACCATATGAATTCACCACAAGATGGCTGTCTTTATGGTGACACCACACCGAAACATCCAGTAACAATTGCGCCACCTCATTAATTTACTTCGTATAACCGTGGTGTCACTACCATAATGTACTCTGTACTAAACCACTTTAGTGTACCCTTATCACCCTAGTGTCACCACATTAATGCAACCTGTATCACCGTAGTGTCACCACATTAAAGTACCCTGTATCGCCCTAGTGTCATCACATTAATGTACCCTGTACTGCCCCGCCTATAAAATCCCTGACTGTGACTAAATCAAAACACCCCCACTCCCCAGGGGCGCTGCGAGGGGCGCCGGGTGTGGGGACGATGGGTGTGATTTCTGATTTGGTCACAAAATGAAACATAACAGTTTGGGCGTGAGTCACTCATCTGCGAAACTCGTCGTCTGTCATATTTGCATGGCCAGATTTTTCAATCTTTCCCTATTCCGGCCAAAACACCATAGGAAGTTTGTAAAAAAAAGAATTACAATTTTTTTTTTACTTTTTAACATGATTACTAAGGAGAAAACTAAACCTTAAAATTTTTAGAATATGTTTTATTTTGTTTTATAAAGATTTCGACGAATTGATTGATAAGATGTCTGTGTGTGAAGTATATTTGAACTAACAGGTTGGAACAAAATGTGACCACGATATGCTGGGGCTAGAGTTAGAGAGTTGGTCATGAGCGGGCTAAATTCTGACTTGACTTGCACGGGCTTAGCTCGGTCAGTACTTGGAGATCACGGAGTTAAAAAATAAAACTTGTCCAAGCTGTACTGGAACAAAACTTGACCAAGCTGTACTAGAACAAAACTTGACCAAGCTGTACCAGAACAAAACTTGACCAAGCTGTGCTAGAACAAAACTTGACCAAGCTGTACCAGAACAAAACTGGACCAAGCTGTACTAGAACAAAACTTGACCAAGCTGTACTAGAACAAAACTTGACCAAGCTGTACCAGAACAAAACTGGACCAAGCTGTACTAGAACAAAACTTGACCATGACTAAGTTAGGACAGAAGTTAATTTTGAACAAACGAAAGTGTTGAACAGTTCTAACATAGATAAAAAAAAAAACAACAACTTGGATTTCACTAAGCTGGAAAAAATTGACATTAACAAATTTGACCTCGAGGAACCTAAACAAAGCTTGACCTTGACTAAATTTTACAATATCTGACATTAACTAAAAAACTTGACATTGACTAATAAAACAAAACTTGACCTTGACTTAGTAAAAAAAAAACTTAGACAATACTATACTAGAATCAGCCTTGACCATGACTAAAGTTGACTCAAACTTAACAATGACAATAGTTAAAGCAAGCTCGACCATGACTAACCTTGACTAAAATTTCATCATGACTAAAACTGATTAAGACCTGACCATGATTAAATGTAAGCAAAATTTGACCATGATTACATTTGACTAAACCTTGACCACGACTACAGCTGACCAAAAATTCACAACGGCTTAAATTGAAAAAAAACTGACGATGACTACTTTTGAACAAATCTTGACCCGACTAAATTTGACTAAAACTTGACCACAACTACAGCTGAATAAAAATTGACCACGACTTAGGTCGAAAAAACACTTGACCCGACTAAATTCGACTAAAACTTGATCATGACTAAATTTGACTAAAACTTGACGATGAAAACGTTAGACCAGCACGGTACAGAGCAGACGATGAACGCTGACGTCGCGTGCCGCACGACAGCAAAGGTCCAAATTTTGATGGTCTTTCTGCCACTTTTACTGATTGCCGTTCCACGACTCGGCACCTGCGCCCTCGGACGAAAAAAAAAAACACTCCACCAAAACGCCAAAGTCACACGCGAGATCAGTGCGCATGCGCCGCCGAATTAACTAATGAGAATTCGTGTAGAGACCAGCCAATGGGCTGGTCTCTAGGGTCATGTGATATTTATAATTCTTTTTGAAAATCTGAGCACGGCGAATCCTATCTGGGTGAGTACGGGTTTTATTTGCGATTGTGGCCAGGTTTTGTGTGCCACGGGGGCCAGAATTTTTATGCCAGGAGGGCCATGCTATGTGTGTATTACACCACTGCAGTAATCTGGCTAATGCTCCTTTTTTATTTTTTTTTAGAGATTCTGGTAATTACGCAAATGGTATAGGATTGCTGATGACGACCCCTTGCTGTATTGTTGTGCTGTAGCTACACTACGAGAGCCAAAACCGTTTCAGTTTTTATCATGCTGAGCGAGATGTCCTTTTTTTTTTTTTAAAATAGGGCCTAATCAAATCAAGCAATATTGTTGAGCTAATTAGTGCTAATTAAGGCGTCTGTCAACAGATACTAGAGCGCTCTGTTGTGTTGTGTTGCCGTCTAAAAACACAAAACAGCATTTTTAATCAAGGTCTGGCGGAAATATGCATATGCACAGAATTATCTGGGTAAATTAAATTAATTTATAGCCAATCTTTGGTTGTATGTAATTAATTAACGCAAAAATATAAAAAATTGAGTTCGCTCTTTGGTTTAAAACAAACCAAATGGTCTGATAAAGTGAAAGTGTGTGGAACAGAATGATGTGCCATTTTTGCTGCCGTATCATTTTTTTTTTATATTTGTCAAATCGAAATTAATTAATATTATTGTTAGTTAATTATAGTAATGGCGTAGAGCACTCGACTGGTAACCGAAAAGTCTCGAGTTCGGGTCCGGCTCTTCAATAAATTTACTTGTCTCTAATTTGGAACTGGGTCGAATCTTGTTATTAAGCCCAGTACTACCGCTCACCTCACAATACTGTCTTATCATAAGTTGCATTTATGGACAATCTAACGCTTAAATGAGAATTTTTTTTTTTCTTTTTTCTTTTTAAAAACATAGTTCAATTTTTAACGTTGTTCCTTTTATACATGGTTTAATCGATCTTCATCTTTTCCCGTTCGTATTAAAGAGATAAATGGGGCAGATGAAGTAGAGTGCATCTGTTTCAGTATGTTCAGCCGCCTTGATTTACCCAATGTTAGTCAGGTACCCATCAGTGCTGGGTTCCGAACTCCAGACTTTCTGGTTAGCATGCATGAATTCAAGTCGACCAGCAACTTCTTAAAGCTTTGATTTGACGATCTTACATTGCACATCAAGATCAGTCTTCAAGATCATCTAGCTCTATATGTGTACATGAACTCGTCTTTACCCCTTGAAATTAGAAACTTTTTATCATGAACCGTGCTATAAAGGTATATCTCTGCCTGTGATATTTATTTTAAAACAAGGCAACGGTAAAAATGTTAGTAAAGACTGTTTGATGTCGAGAGCTCATCATCGTTCTTAATTTTTAATGTTAAAAGGGATTCCCTACAATACAAATTAAATATTACGTGTCAACTTGTTATGCACCTTATGTGTCTTTTTATTGGTTTTGCATCCATAGTATTTGTCCAACAGGAAAGCAGTTGTTTGAGTTTGGAGTTGTCTTACCTTGTAGAGTGGCCGCCCCCAGATTTCGAGACTCTTCTGCCCGGAGGTACAAACTTAAGATTTTTCGGTTTAACAACCATGAGCTTTACCGACTCGACCACTCCGACCCCAATGTCGAGACTTAAACGTCTGGGTTCGTACCCATGAGCTCTACACCTTGACCACATTCTCATATAAACATTGAAATAACAAATCAGACGATGAATAAAATATGTTCATTTTATTAGAAGACGCTAATCTATGTTAGGCATTATATGAAAAAAGTAACTATTTGCTCATGCCCCTTTACTTTAGGGGGCATATGCCACTACTGTAGAAAAAGGTGTGGGAAGGGGTGACTCTTCTAGTAATGTTTTGTTGATGGAGGGGAGGGGGGGATATTATTTGTATTCTCCAATACAGTAGAAATTATTGAAAGATTAAGGGGGGGGGGGGGGGTAGAAATGTTTAAGTCATTAACTACTTCAGATACTCCGGTGAAGAACATATTCAATTCAGGTTCGCATCCATTGTGTTGAAGAGAATAAAAGTATGAATAAATAAATAAACAGGTTTTAATATTTACACACAGTGATATGTTCAGCCTAGCGTTATCATAAAATGTCTGACATTCTGAAGCAACCATACAACTGACATTCTCACATCGACTTTCTAATGCCACCACTGTTTTACTGACACTTGCAAATGACATTTTAATTCTGACTCTAATGACATTCTATTATAAACATAGTAATCGAATACTACGCTGCAACAGTCATACTATTATAAATACAATAATACGGACTTTCTCCGAAGCTAATACTGACATACTATTATAAACATAGTAATATTGGCCTTCTAAAACTGACATACTATTATAAAAATAGTAATACTGACCTTCTAATACTGATGCTACTACTAACGTATTATTATAAACTTTGTAATACTGATCTTCTTATACTGAAGCCACTACTGACATACTATTATAAACACACAATAATACCGACACGCAAATATTGGCATTCTAACTCTGTCACTATTACTGACATCCTAATACTGACACTGTATCACTGACACTGATACCGTCACACCAATTTTGATACTCCACAACTGACACTGAATCACTGACACACATACACTGACAATCTAAAGTGACACTCTAATTCATACACTCCTCTGCTGACACTCTAGTACTGACGCTACACCGACACACTGTATGACACACTGTATTACACACTGTATTACACACTGTATTACAACTCTGTATTACTTTATCACACATTGTATGACAAAAAAAAACTATATTTTACTCCATAACCAACACTCATCGAAACATTCTAGCATTTATTCCTTTATAATTTATGCTTTCACTTTCCATTTCTTTTACTGTCTTTCTCTCTTTCTCTCTCTTTCTTTTTTCATTACATTTTATGTTTATA